ATGGAACTAAAGGTAGTAATAGCCATATTGATACTAGTTGTGGTAGTGATGGTACTATCAGTGGTAGCCGTAGCATCAATACTAGTGTTTATCTATCAGTGACTAGGAGGGTTGTTGTTGTTGTTGTTTTAGATTTAGCTACTCAGAACGAAGTGTCCATGTAGCACGGGCTATGGTGAGCCCGTAAGTCTACGGGGGAGTAAGACCTTTATATATTATCCTCCTAGCCGTCTACACCCGGTGCGCTCATTACCTCACTTGATATTAACATTTTCATCATATTTTTTATGAAAGTTGTAGATGAAATTGAGTTTAGGAGCCTCTTCCTTCAATGCTTCATTTGCCGCCCACCCGTACAGGGTTCGAGAACTTCCTTACAATGAGCCTGACGGCTGAGTGGACAGCGCTCGGGTTTCGTAGTCCTAAGGTTCTGGGTTTGATCCCCGAGCCCCTACCTAGCAGTAAATAGGTACCTGGGAGTTAGACAGCTGCAACGGGCTACTTCCTAGGGATGTGTAAAAAAAAAGGAGGCCTGGTCGAGGACCGGGCCTCGGGGATGCTAAGCCCCGAAATCATCTCAAGATAACCTCAAGATACATCTCTACGACACAACTGTTTGTCCAGCTTCCACTAATGACCCCATTGTCCTACTTACGTGTAATTTAAATATGCTTCCGTTGTCCACATTGTCTATTCCCTTTGGGATTTTGTATGTAGTGATCATATCCCCGATATTCTCGCGGAAGTGAGGGCGAGTTGCCTCAACCTGGCCTCATAGCTAGTAGATGCAAATCTCTGAAATTTCTCATGTTTCTTTTTTGTGCCTCACAATGTGTGGGTTCCATGATGGTGCTGTATACTTCTGTAATAATTAATTCATTGTGTCGGGGGACAGGCAGACAGAGTGTATTCATACACGTTAGGCTTATATTGAGGTCCCCCCCTCTCCCAGGATGCAACCCCACAACAAGCAGACAAACCCCTGGGTACCTACTTACTGCTAGGTGAACAGAGGCATTAGGTGATAGGAAATGCGCCCAACCATTTCTGTCCCGCCCGAGATTCTATTTCACATACGAGAGTTCAGTCACACAGGATATTGGTGTCGCCAGGTTGTTTGTCTTTAGCAATGAAGAAGTCACACCTTTACAGATTTAATGGTCTGAGGTTGAGTAAGGGTCAGGTCGTGTGAAATGACCTTGCTTTCTGATTAGCTGCTAATTGCAGATGGTGGTGCCTCATCAAACAAGCCGCTGTTTAGGCGTGGTAGGTAGATAACCTGAGGCTATCTTCTTGGTAGGAGCTTAGCTCCCGGTTCCCCCATAAATACCCATGGAACAGTCGCACCTCCACAGATCTCCAGTATCAGCTCTTGATACTGGTAATGGCTCAAAGGGGCCACCACTTACGGGCTATTCATGCCCGTGCCACCTTTTGGGTGGCTTAATCTTCATCAATCTGCATTTGGACGATTGAGCAGGACAGCAATAGAGAGATCGCTTGTCGAGAGGCCCCCAGCAACAAAAACCAGGCCTGTCCCAGGCCAGGTGGGGACCCTGTCAGCCGTGGCGCCCCCCCCCCCCCCCACCTCTCTATCAAACTAACTCTCAGAGAACAAATCCACAAGGGCCTTGATGAGGATTCGAACTTACGCACGGGATGATCACGGCCCTTGTGGATTTGTTCATTTGATGCATCACGGTATTGTGATTTCTGTGTGTACATTATTAATATATCCTTGAACTTGACCTCACCTGAGTGTGCATAGCAACATCAAGCGACCTGGAAACAAAAGAGGAGGTTGTAATTAGTGATTAAAGCGAGGATGCGGAAGCTTGTTTATGAACCCAGCTGATCGGTGTGTTGATACTCTAGGACGGGTAGTGCACAGACGACTGATGAGCGAGACGGGCAAGAGGACGGGCAAAGCCAGGGGTAACTTGACTGACCAAGTGAGGCCAACATTGGAGGCGATGAGTCACAATAACGTGGCTAAAGTATGTTGACCAGACCACACACTAGAAGGTGAAGGGACGACGACGTTTCGGTCCGTCCTGGACCCTTCTCAAGTCGATTGTGAATGGACCAGTCGGTCACAATCGACTTGAGAATGGTCCAGGACGGACCGAAACGTCGTCGTCCCTTCACCTTCTAGTGTGTGGTCTGGTGAACGAAGCCAACATTGCTTTTGTGCTTTCACAACAATATTCCGCGTTACGGGTCGCTTATTCACTTGAGTTTGAGATCTACCGGCCGCAGCTGTTCTTCCCAAGGGCGGTATAGCTCCAGTCTCACCTTACACACACACACACACTACAGGGCCGGTGGCTGTGTGGACAGCACGCTTGATACGTAGTCATGTGGACCGGTGTTCGATTCTCGGGGCCGGGAGAAACAAATGGGCAGTTTCTTTCACCCTGATGTCCCTGTTACCTAGTAGTAAATAGGTACCTGACAGTTAGATAGCTGTTACGGGCTGCTTCCTGGTGTGTGTGGGTGTGTGGAAAAAAAATAGTAGTTAATAACAGTTGGTTGATTGACAGTTGAGAGGCGGGCCGAAAGAGCAGAGCTCAACCCCCGCAAGCACAACTATGTGAATACACACACACACACACACACACACACACACGCACACACGGAGACTGTAACATCATCCATAGCCGCCACACCCTTCACAACCTCTACAGCCCTCACATACTCAACAGCAGTATGGGAGGACAGCAGTTTAGTTTAGTTCATTTATTATGCACCCCATACCCATCTTGTGGGCGGTAGTGGAAAGGGTTACAGAGGCACATAATGGGCTCAGGGACTGAACCCCACAATTCATTTAGCTAAGCAAATTACAATCTTAATGAGCTAGTTACAAAATTCAATATAAGTCGTCACATTAACAATGGGTTCGAGATCGACCACAAGTACAGTTTCTAAATTAAGCAACTGACATATGTGGAGAGCTAGTATCACAATTGATATGTTTGTCCTGCACACCGCCCCCCATCCAGTGGGCAGCGGTGGATAGGTTACAATCACTTAGTAACTACCTACAGTTAGTAAACTGGGGATATTTGGCTAAAATTTCTGGTAGCAGATCATTTTGAATGAAATATTTACACATCGTTGGAACATTGGTTATAGAATTGTCTCTGAATTCACGTATCTTTTCGCACTCCATCACATAGTGACGGAGGGTGTGTGAATAATTTTGTTGACACAGTTTACATTTGGTCAGGTCTACATCAGCAGATAATGAGAATTCCCAGATACTTGTAACCGAGTCTAACCCGAGCAGTAGTAACATCTAGAAGTCTGCTGATTTTATTGGATGAACCATAGATGTGTGACTCCTCTTGCAAGATATTTTATGATGATAGATGGAATTACTGGTGTCAATTTCACTTTGCCTCAGATCTACAAGATTTTGTTGAAGTTCTTGGTGTACTATTGCTCTCAGATTACCTATTAACAACCCAAGGTTACACTCAACGGCTCCTTTAAAGGCAGATTCTTTGGCTAACTTATCAGCTCTACCTTGCATTCGGAGGCCAACATAAGATGGAGACCACATGAAATGGACTCTATTACCATCATTAATAATTTTGTGGTATTTGTGTCTAGCTTCGGACACGAGCATGTTACAGTTATGTCTTAAAGAGTTGAGAGCAATTAAGGGTGCAGGCAGGGAAGATAGCGGCCAGGTGGAGGGCAGCGGCCAGCGGAAAGGGCAGCGGGAAAGGAGGATAGCAGGTAGGGAGGACAGCGGCCAGGGAGGACATTAGGGACAGACGGCTGCACCTGCGGGATGCGCCAAAGCCAAAAGGAACAAAAACATGTTTGTGTCTCACATCTCAAGAGCAAGATTGGCGGACATTAGCACTAAATCCGCCAGTGACTTATGGTCAATATTTCTAGGAGGAAGTGGGAGGTCTCCGTGGTGTAGTGGTAAGACACTCGCCTGGCGTTCCGCGAGCGCTATGTCATGGGTTCGTATCCTGGCCGGGGAGGATTTACTGGGCGCAATTCCTTAACTGTAGCCTCTGTTTAACGCAACAGTAAAATGTGTACTTGGATGAAAAAACGATTCTTCGCGGCAGGGGATCGTATTCCAGGGACCTGCCCGAAACGCTACGCGTACTAGTGGCTGTACATGAATGTAACAACTCTTGTATATATCTCAAAAAAAAAAAAAAAAAAAAAGGTGAGAGTGTGACTATACTGCCACTCTTCACTCTCACTGGTCAGCCAAATTCTGTTACGTCCCGCCCGACCTTGACCGTCGGTATGGCGCTGCCCGGCAACAGTCACCTCCCGATGCCATTGGATTTGATTTGTTTTTGTTTTAAAAGCCTAGTTTGTTTTGTAATTTTTTTCTATAGAAATAATATATGTAGGCTACATCGCTCGCTGTATTTATTGATATGATTCTATGACATTATTTTATGTAATGAAGGAAATTTTCAGCTCCCTCCCACCACCTCTTAATTGTTTACATCATATAATTGCTAATTATTCCACGACTTTGCTACAAGTTCATATAAATTGTGTTTGTGAGGGTAACATTTGTTTGTGAACAATTCTGAATAATGTGAAAGATGTTAGCAAAGCGAGGGGAGGAGATAATTAGTATAATGACCTATACACTTCAAGTGGTGGTTATCCTACTGGTGGTCACGTGGTTGGGCTGCCTAACCACCCCCCCAATCCCTCTAGGACCTGTCCACCCCCGTCTACCCTCCCCTCTAGGTAGGACCGCATATTCCACCACCCCACCCTAACCTTTGCCCCCCTCCCCTGTCCCCGAGAGCTCCCCCCAGACCTCTGTCCCTCCTGCACTGTAAACAGTCACCTGTCTCCTGCCCTGGGAACACCTCACCCCAACGGGCGCTTGATCATAGTCGCTCCTAAACCATCAACACCTCACTCCTACTCCACGATACATGACGGGGGATATGTGTCTCAGTTTGGACAAGTAACTGTGTGTGTGTGTTCATCTCGTGCAGGTGTGTAGTGATGGCGGGAGGACAGGCGGCCAGCCTGGTGCTGCAGGATGGCACCAGCTTCCAGGGACGAGTGTTTGGTGCGCCCGTCTCCTTCTCCGGCGAAGTTGGTGAGTGTTGCGCCTGGAGTGGCTTGAGTTGCCACTGTCACCCTGGACCAGGGTGAAGGGTTGTCACTGTGGCCCAGAGTGAAGGCGGTTGCCATTGTGGCCAAGGGTAGAATGGATTGCCATTGTGGCCAAGGGTAGAATGGATTGCCATTGTGGCCAAGGGTAGAATGGATTGCCATTGTGGCCAAGGGTAGAATGGATTGCCATTGTGGCCAGGGGCGGAATGGATTGCCATTGTGGCCAGGGCGGGAGAGGGATTGCCACTATGGCCCAGATGGGAGGGGAAGTGGCCACTGTCCCAGGGGAGGAAGGGGTTTCCACCAGCCCAGGTGGGAGGGGGGTAAGGTGTTACAACTGTAGTGTAGTGACACGTATGTAAGTGGGTAATTATTTAGGATTACTTGTGCATAGGCGATATGCATTCTTCGTTATTATTGTTAAATGCACTAATTATAATTTTTAGCATTAATTCTCTAACCTTGTTTACTCTATTTACATGTTACTATGTTCGGGTGCATGTGGCCATTACTTACGTAGAATAGGTATATAAGTATAGGTATTAAGTATACACTTAACACACCATAGGCTGCAACTCGCGGTTGCAAATTACTAGCAACTGGAGTTGCAACGATTCCATACAACTTGCTGTTGCAAATATTTGATTATTCATATTTACAATTAATAGTTGTATCGCCTATGGTGTTTTGTTTCACCTGGCTCACTGCCGCCACGATTGTTGAAAGATGTTTCGTAAGTGGCTTCGTGTATATATATAATATAATGAGAGAGATGGATGGATGCTTGATGAATCCTGAGTCATGTTGACCTGTGTTTTCTTTAAGTAGATCAAGGTTCATGGGCCACCGGCTATTGTCGCCTAGCCGCACGCGCCTCTCCCTATGCACGCGGCCCTTCCCCGCACACGTGCCCTGCCCCATACACGCGCTATCTCCCACCCTCGGCCCTCTCCCATATATGCCTCCATGCACGCGCCGGCCCCATACACTCTTCCTCGCCCCCCTCCCATAACGTGCGCTCTCCCCAATAAGCGCACCCCCACAATCCCTGTGGGGGGGGGGGGCTTGCTTACCCCTCCACCGCCCCAAGGAACACCCTCGCCTTGCTCTACCCACACGCGCTCCCCTGATACTCGCCCTCACTGTCCCCCACACTCGCCCTCACTCCTCCACACTGGCCCTCACTCCTCCACACTGGCCCTCACTCCTCCACACTGGCCCTCACTCCTCCACACTGGCCCTCACTCCTCCACACTGGCCCTCACTCCTCCACACTGGCCCTCACTCCTCCACACTGGCCCTCACTCCTCCACACTGGCCCTCACTCCTCCACACTGGCCCTCACTCCTCCACACTGGCCCTCACTCCTCCACACTGGCCCTCACTCCTCCACACTGGCCCTCACTCCTCCACACTGGCCCTCACTCCTCCACACTGGCCCTCACTCCTCCACACTGGCCCTCACTCCTCCACACTCGCCCTCACTCCTCCACACTCGCCCTCACTCCTCCACACTCGCCCGCACTCCTCCTCACTCGCCCTCACTCCTCCACACTCGCCCTCACTCCTCCACACTCGCCCTCACTCCTCCACACTCGCCCTCACTCCTCCACACTCGCCCTCACTCCTCCTCACTCGTCCTCACTCCCCCAAAACTCGTCCTCACTCCCCCAAAACTCGTCCTCACTCCCCCAAAACTCGTCCTCACTCCCCCAAAACTCATCCTCACTCCCCCAAAACTCGTCCTCACTCCCCCAAAACTCGCCCTCACTCCCCCAAAACTCGTCCTCACTCCCCCAAAACTCGTCCTCACTCCCCCAAAACTCGTCCTCACTCCCCCAAAACTCGTCCTCACTCCCCCAAAACTCGTCCTCACTCCCCCAAAACTCGTCCTCACTCCCCCAAAACTCGTCCTCACTTCCCCCAAAACTCGTCCTCACTCCCCCAAAACTCGTCCTCACTCCCCCAAAACTCGTCCTCACTCCCCCAAAACTCGTCCTCACTCCCCCAAAACTCGTCCTCACTCCCCCAAAACTCGTCCTCACTCCCCCAAAACTCGTCCTCACTCCCCCAAAACTCGTCCTCACTCCCCCAAAACTCGTCCTCACTCCCCCAAAACTCGTCCTCACTCCCCCAAAACTCGTCCTCACTCCCCCAAAACTCGTCCTCACTCTCCCCTCACTCGCCCCTCACTCCCCCCTCACTCGCCCCTCACTCCCCCCTCACTCCCCCCTCACTCGCCCCTCACCTCCCCCTCACTCCCCCCTCACTCCCCCCTCACTCCCCCCTCACTCCCCCCTCACTCGCCCCTCACTCGCCCCTCACTCCCCCCTCACTCCCCCCTCACTCCCCCCTCACTCGCCCCTCACTCGCCCCTCACTCGCCCCTCACTCGCCCCTCACTCGCCCCTCACTCGCCCCTCACTCGCCCCTCACTCGCCCCTCACTCGCCCCTCACTCGCCCCTCACTCGCCCTCACTCTGCCCTCACCCTGCCCTCACCCTGCCCTCACTCTGCCCTCACCCTGCCCTCACCCCGCCCTCACCCTGCCCTCACCCCGCCCTCACCCTGCCCTCACCCTGCCCTCACCCTGCCCTCACTCTGCCCTCACTCTGCCCTCACTCTGCCCTCACTCCGCCCTCACTCCGCCCTCACTCCGCCCTCACTCTCCCCTCACTCCCCCTCACTCCCCCCACGCTCCCCCCTCACTCTCCCCTCACTCCCCCTCACTCCCCCTCACTCCCCCTCACTCCCCCCACGCTCCCCCCTCACTCTCCCCCCCTCACTCGCCCTTCACTTGCCCTCACTCGCCCTCACTCCCCCCTTACTCCGCCCTCACTCCCCCCCTCACTCACTCCCCCCCTCACTCCCCCCCTCACTCCCCCCTCACTCCCCCCTCACTCCCCCCTCTCACTCCCCCTCTCACTTCCCCTCTCACTCCCCCCTCACTCCCCCCTCACTCCCCCCTCCCCCCTCACTCCACCCTCACTCCCCCCACACTCGCCCTCACTCCCCCCACACTCGCCCTCACTCCCCCCACACTCGCCCTCACTCCCCCCACACTCGCCCTCACTCCCCCCACACTTGCCCTCACTCTCCCCACACTCGCCCTCACTCCTCCCACAGTTCCATACTGTATTTGGCTCTTAACACAAAACTCTCATTGTTTGGGTCTCACTTTTTATTGTGTTCTATATTTTGCTTGTGTATCTCATTCACATGCCCCATATTGTTGAATCTTTTGGAGGTATTCCACTGTGACATTATTAACCCTGGACCCTCATGTGTTTTCCATAGATAAGATCCTCATGTATCATTGTAAGTCAAATCGTAAAGTTTATTCCAGGCTACCTCTGGTTTCACAGGATCCTTGTTTATCTTTGGAGGTTTCTTCCCAAATGCTGAGCACTTTTCTTATCTATCAGCCACTGGAGCACTGCTCATTGAAGCTCACTGTAGCCAACTCCAGAGTTTCAATTAATTTAATCCCATGTTACAATTTGATGAGGTGGTGGTGGGCATACTGGATCCAGAAAATATATGGGGACATGAGGCTGAAAAAATGGTTTATATTACAGTATATAATGGTAATGTTAATACTAATAAGTTTTAAGATATACAGTACCGGCCTTTTACCTTTAATTACATGACCATAGATTTAAATTGACAATACAGGAACGCTACAAAAATCTTGGTGCAGTATTTCAGACTGGTATGGTGGGCTACCCTGAGGCTTTGACAGATCCATCGTACTGCGGCCAGGTGCTGGTGTTGACTTATCCGCTTGTGGGCAATTATGGCGTTGCAGATACTACCCAGCTTGATCAATATGGTCTCATCAAGTAGGTCCATATTCTCTCTCTTTAAATTCTTTTTATGTATCTCTTATTTTAGTACTTAAATCATTTGCCTTAGTACATGTTTTGCTTCATCAGATATTCCTACATTTGTACATTCATGCAAAGCTACTAACACACAGTGTTTTTGGGCAAGTCCTTAATCTAACATATCAGGTAAGATGAAAAGGTACATTGTAGCAAGGTTTTATATCAACACAACTACAATATAAATTGACAGAGGTGATTACACTGGCAAAGCTATGTGTCTTAAGTACACGTACTGTACTAACATTGGGGAAGTGGGTAGTACAAGATACTGTGTGAGTGGATTTAAAGCACAAGGTTGGGAACTATGAGGATGAAATTAGGTACAGTACTTTTGTTGAGTGATGATGAGCTTGAGGTAATTTGCAGTGGTTGATCCCAGATAGGGATAGATTAGCGTGTATTATAATGAGAGGAGAGCAGAGTGGGGGAACGTAATATCTGATTTTAGAAAGTATATCGACTGTTTTTTAAACATTTTTTTGGCTGTGTTGTATGTGGGTGCTGAAGTTAAGTCTCTGGTCTATGTATAGATCAAGGAACTTTCCCTCATTTTTATTGCTGATGTTAACCTTGTCTATCTGAAGTTGAATTTGATTTGATGATTTACTGCCAAATAAAATGTAGTAAGTCTTTTCTGTGTTTAGTGTAAGTTAGTTGGTTGATATCCATGAGTGGACTTTTTTCAATTCATTATTGACAATATTATTTAGTGTGTTGGGGTTGGAGTCAGAATAGATGAAGGTACTGTAGTATCGTCAGCAAATAGTATAGGTTTAAGAATGTTAGAATCATTTGGCAAATCATTGATGTATATAAGAAATAGGGGAGGTCCTAAGATGCTGCCCTGTGGCACTCCTGCTGTTAATTGTAGAGTGGGGGAGGTTATGTTATTGATGGCTACATATTGGTGTCTGTCACCGAGATAAGAACGAATACAATTTAGAGCAAGGCCTTGGATACCGTAGTAGTGAAGTTTAAGTAAGGGATAGTTATGATTTACAGTAGTAAAGGTATTTCTCAGGTCAATGAAGTGGCCAATTGGGAACTCATTTTTGTCACGTGCTGTGAAGATTATATTATTGATTATTGACTAATAATGGCATCATTGATACTCTTTTGGGAACGGAAGTGAGATCTGTGAAAATTACTAATAGTTATGTGAACATGAACAAGAATTAAACAATTAAATCTTTACAGGTGGATGGAGAGCAACAGGGTGTGGGCAGGTGGTCTGGTGGTGGGGGAGGTGTGTGATCAGCCCTCCCACTGGGCCTCCATCAAGACTCTAAATGAATGGCTACTAGCAGAGGGCGTCCCAGGAATACAAGGCATTGATACTCGCAGTCTTACGAAAAAGTATTGGAGCCTTAATAATCTTACTGTGAAAGTGTCTTGATTGAATTTTTTGTGGTTAATTATTACAATTTTATATTTTGGATTTAAATTGTTTACCTAATACTGTGTTCCTTATTGACAGGATCCGTGAGCATGGGTCAATGTTGGGGAAGATTGTGGTTGAGGGAGGAGAAGACCCTCCTCTGACAGACCCTAACACCCTTAACCTTGTAAACACTGTCTCTATCAAGGTTAGTTAATAACTAGTCTTGTCATAATATTTAATGGATTTGTTCACTTGGGTTTGAAACACTGAACTATGTGTGAGTTGTTTACCATATGTGCTTGTTGAATATATGCATACAATTAATGGACTCATTGTGGCAACTTGCAATTTTTTAGATGAGTTGAGTCTAGACAATATATTGTTTACTTGTATATTATTTAAAGATCAGATTTGCTGGTGTGCATTATCAAATTAACAAAATTATAATTGAATGAAGTGACTGAAAATTGAATTAATATCAGAATTTTAGAAGGATCTTCATTTTAGGTAATGTATAGATAAGTTTTTAATGTGTACATTCGGACAAGGAATGTTGTAAATGACTTATTTGTTCCTGTCTAGGAACCCCGAGTTTATAACCCAGAAGGCGACGTCCGTATCATGGCGGTGGATTGTGGCTTGAAGTATAATCAGCTGCGATGCCTAGTCAAGCGCAAGGCTCGTGTCACTGTTGTACCGTGGGATCACCCGCTCGACCCAACTCAGTACGATGGACTGTTCCTCAGCAATGGACCAGGTGAGCAGTGGGGAGGTTCCTCAGTAGTGGACCAGGTGAGCAGTGGGGAGGTTCCTCAGTAGTGGACCAGGTGAACAGTGGGGGATGATGCTCAAGTTAGATGGTTTATGTGTTTTCTGCTTCACTTTAGTTCACACAATGTGTGCTATAACTATTTATTGATACATAAGTGGCAAAAACAGTAAATGAGTATAGGTACTCTATATAGGCCTATAGTGTAATATATTTACATATAGCATAAAACTGTGCTCCTGGCACAGCTCAAAGGAAGTATCGTACGACCCAATCCTTTGCTGCTATTCTGCCGTCATCCAAAAATAAATTAAAACACCAGCAGGAAATGCTAAATTGTAATTTGATGATAATTGTACTTGTGCATGATAACCTCATCACATGGTATGCAATCATAAATATTAGCAGAATGCTTTCATGGATCGAGGTTTTCATGAGTCAAGGTCTAAACCAAGAAGAATGTTTACTTTAATATATCTTTTAATATATTAGGGGTTCGATTACTAGGCCATGCCCCTCTTGGTTTCTCTGTTGTTGTTGACACCCTATGCTCTTCACTACTAACTATATATCACATCAAGCATATTTGATTATGGGGCATCAAGTCCTCTTTGAGGGTAGGAAAACAAATTGGCAGGCATTTGATATACTGTATAAGGTCTAGCTAAGTAGAAGTAATGCACCTATTTATGATATACTTTAAATACTTTAGATTTTGTAGATAATACAGTATTGTATTTTTAATTGTAAATATTTAAATAAAAATAAATAAAAGATATTACAATGGTTTATTTGACCATTGTACAATGGTCAAATAAACCATTGTATAATGGTTTATACAGTGGTTTAAAACAATGACTCCATATACAATACTATGCACAGTATTAGAGCACAGTATTGTATATTCTTGCAAAGCTTCATACCGGTATTTGTTTCAAAAGTTGTACATTTATTCCGTAAATAATGGTAATATTTGTACTCTAGGTGACCCACAGATGTGTAGTACGACCGTGGAACATCTCCGGTTGGTCATGGCATCGAGCACAACCAAACCCATATTTGGTATTTGTCTCGGACACCAGTTGTTATCTGTGGCTGCGGGCTGCTCTACCTACAAGATGAAGTAAGAAATAACTTCAATTTGATGTCATCAGCTGTGCTTCATATCTTGTCTTTCCTTCAGTATACATTAAATTATCTGCTAAACTTGAGGACAGTCTGAAGAAATTATTCAGTAATATTAACTTAACCTTTCTAATAACACATTATGTGAGGATGCAATTTGATGTGCTTGTAGAGGTGTATACTGATACTGATACTATTGAGACTGATACTAACACTTAATATTTATTTTAAGATATTAAGACTTAAGATAAAATACTTCTCAAGATCTCAAGGTTTGTAAAAAGTGACAATAAATTATACATTTTTTATAATTTTAATAATAATCATAATACAATGGTTCTTGCAGAATCCAATAAATTAAACTGTTAAATAATTCTCAAACAAAATTTTTGACGTGTTGCAAATTTGTTCTAAAAAAAATGTTCATTCATTTTATGTTTAAGTTATTTGTTGGGTTATACTGTAACTATAAATTTTGTATCTAAATGTTCACAAATAACATTTTACTCTAGAGAATAGATGCAAAACTAAAAGTGCATTTATTGTACACAACAAGGATGCAAATACAAATGATTATGAATAACAATAGGATGTGTTTTAGCATCATCAGAATATTTACTGTCCGAGAGATGACACATTTTAGTGTCATCTGAATGCAAAAGTGTTATATAACACCTTAGCAGGGAGTCCTCTTCTAGTTTTTAAAATTAAAAAAAAATCACTGAAGATCATTGGACAGTCTAAAATTGCTTTAAAATGGATCATCAGTCCCCATTTTGGTCCTGGCCCAAAAAAAGAACTGAATTTCCTGGTTATGGTAGGAGCCGGTCGGCCGAGAGGACAGCACGCGGGACTGTGATCCTGTGGTCCTGGGTTCGATCCCAGGCGCCGGCGAGAAACAATGGGCAGAGCTTCTTTCACCCTATGCCCCTGTTACCTAGCAGTAAAATAGGTACCTGGGTGTTAGTCAGCTGTCACGAGCTGCTTCCTGGGGGTGGAGGCCTGGTCGAGGACCGGGCTGCGGGGACACTAAAAACGCCCCGAAATCATCTCAAGATAACCTCAAGATGGTCATCATAATGGGACCGAGTTCTATGAATTTGGTCTTTTTGGAACTCGATACTTCCCTGCTTTGCAAATTACGTCCCTAAAATAATACTGATGTAACGTTGCATTGTTATGTCAGTTGAGGTGACAATCAATACAAATAGTAGTCAAAAAAGTAAAATACCAGTATATATTGTATATATTTGGACAAATGTAGTTTACTGAAGCTTGCAGGTGAAGCCTGGCGAGCAACGGTGTGATGACTAGTTGGTCAGTTGAGTGTTATGATGCACTCTGATGAATGTCAATGGTGTTTGAAGATCTGCTGTATCTCTTAGTGTCTGTCACTAAACACTATTGCAGTTACACTCAGACAGATGCTGCTCTGCTGCTGGCAGCTTATATTACAAGTGTCTTCACTTTGCCAAACTGACCAAGTGCCTGGTGATGACTACGCTTAGGAAGATATTATTTGTAATAAGCTCTTATAGGATTAGTGTAGCACTCGCTTGTAATGTTAAATTCTCAGGGAAAAGTTAAGTGGAATTAAGAGGCACATGTAGTTATCAGCATTGCAACTAATGAGAATTTGGAGCAATTACCTTTAATATAACTGCTACACTGACAAGACTGCATCTACAGTATATATATTAAGATAAAATAATATTAAGAAATGATGTATACATATATGATAATGAAATGTATGTTCTGCAGAGCCCCCAACTATATACACAGTAGTTGATTAAGTTTCTTTTGTACAGATATGGCAATCGTGGGCACAACCAACCATGCATGCATGAAGGGTCGAGGAGGTGTTTCATTACGTCTCAGAACCATGGGTATGCTGTCGATGCAGCATCAATTCCACATGATTGGGCTCCACTCTTCATTAATAAGAATGACAACTCAAATGAGGGCATTGTCCATCGTACTCTTCCATTCTTCAGGTAAAACCAATGCTATATTAAATGATAGTGTTTAATTTAATAAATATTAACCATTGCATTACAGTGTTTACACTTTTTGTTTGTTTATTTATTTTTATTTATATACAAGAGTTCTTACATTCTTGTAAAGCCACTAGCACACACACACAACGTTTCGGGCAGGTCCTTAATCCTAATTTTTCCCTGGAATACGACCCGCCAAATCTTTTAGCAACCAGGTACCCATTCACTGCTGGGTGAACAGAGGCTACAGTTAAGGATTGGCACCCAGTCAATCCTCCTCAGCCTGGATTGTATTAAGTAGCAGGCAAAAGCTGTATCCTCTTCTAACAGCTGAGTGGACAGCACTTCAGATTCGTAGTCCTGAGGTTCTGGGTTCGATCCCCGGTGGAGGTGGAAACAAAATGGGCAGAGTTTCTTTCGCCCCGATGCGCCTGTTACCTTGCAGTAAATAGGTACTTGGGAGTTAGACAGCTGCTACGGGCTACTTCCTGGGGGTGTGTTAACAAAAAGGAGTGCTGGTCGAGGACTGGGCCGCGGGGACGCTAAGCCCCGAAATCATCTCAAGATAACCTCAAGATAGATACTCTATTATTCTGTCCTGTACGATGACAACATCAGTTATGAATGGTAACATAGTTTTGCCTTAGAAAAAAAAGTCTGGCCATAATTTGTTTGGTACTGTATTACATTATGCAGATTGTAAGTTGTACTGGTAAATATTTTCTACCAAATTTTGAAATGGACAAGAAGTTGGTTTACATGGGTTGAGTGGACATAGGTAATAAAGCCCATTATGTACTAAGAAAGGCAACAGCTAACAGCTACAGAGGACTAAAGTTCATGTTAGGTATGTTGCCTATGTGAGCTGATTCGACAAGATCACATATGTATGTGTATGCAGAGTAGAAGAAGGAAAGATTATTTTGGAAGAATAACAATCTAAAGGATGATTAGAGTTCCTAACATGACAGAACAGAGCATTGTTCATGTCTGCAGATTTAATACTACTTTTGTGTTTTTTAAGTTTGTCATTAGGAGTACATCACTAAATTTTAATACATGGTGAGTACTACAAATAAAGAAATCTAAAATGTGAATGTTTTATATAAACGTTAATTAGCTTAACCCTTAAAGTGCGCATCACTTCATATGAAGTGTAAATCGTTTTACCAGTCAACTGCGCTTCACTTCATATGAAGTGTATGGGTACCGCGCACGATTTGAATGGCCCGCGGTGTAGCTGGGGGTCCCATACGCTGCCCAGGGGCTCTAGTAAACAGCGGCCATTTTGAAAAAAAATCCAGCTCACGCTCCGATGGCATGGGAGGCCTCAGTTTAGCGAGAGTCACCATGGCGAGCGCACGGTCAAACGCCTCACGAGCACGCATCACTCAGTCCCTCACCCCAGAGCAAATAGCCCACGAATTATTCTCTGAAGGTGAAGAAAGTGTGTTTGACGATTCAGACAACGATGAGGATTATACACAGTTGTCGGGAGATAGTAGCAGCAGCAGTGAAAGTGAGAATGACCGCCATGCCATGGCGAGGCCTATACGCTCTCCCATGCCTCCTCGCCCATTTTCTACCCCAATTCTACCACGACCTCACAGTTCCTGTGGATATTTTCTGTTTGAGGGTGACGAGTCAGAGGGAGGTGACTCCTTTTCTGGGTTTAGTGACTCAGATCAAAGTTTTATTGAGCCTGTGGCTGGTACCAGTGGTGTAACTGGGCGAGAAATTGTCGCGTCAGCAGCATCTCGCCCAGCCAAGCGCCACCGCATGGCACCACATGAGGCACCAAGACCCTCGTGTTCACGTGCACCCACCTCACGTGCACGTAGCCGCCGTGCTTCTCGCAGACGGTATTCAGCTCCTGGTCGCCGGTATGCATCGCTTCCTCGCCGTCTTTCCTCTGCATCTCGCAGGACGCCTGGTGTACTTGAGTGGAGTGATGGTGACGATTTTATTCCTAATATTCCTCACTTTGACGATAAAGATGTAGGGATTACAAACCTTTTCCCTAATCAAGGTGAGGACATGGCTGAGATGGAATATTTTACAGCATTCTATGATGAACCACTCATGGAATACATTGTACACCAAACGAACCTGCATGCTGCTTACCTGATTGAGAGGGAAATCACAGAATTTTCACGACTGCAGCGTTGGAAAAATACCACAGTGGCGGAAATGTATGTGTTTTTGGCACTCTGTTTGTTGATGAAGCACTGTCACAAACATGCAATAAATGACTATTGGAGCAAGGACAAGACAATACCAACACCTTTATTCGGGAAATATATGTCACGAGACAGGTTTCAGATACTCCTCAGGTGTCTACATTTTGGAAGTGTTCAGGACCGAACACCTGATGATAGACTGTGGCGAGTGAGGCACTACATGAACGATGTTATTGGAAAATTCAGAGATTTTTACGTACCAGCACAGAAGCTGGTGGTTGATGAATCTCTCATACTTTTCAAGGGACGTGTTCCATTCAAACAGTACATTCCCTCAAAACGAAACCGATTTGGCCTGAAATTTTTTGTTCTTTGTGATTGTGAGACAGGATACGTGTTACACATGATTCTGTACTCGGCTAGTGATGTAGACATTCCCGGTAACGACGAACATGGATTCTCGGGGAGTGTAGTGAAGACCATCATGGCTCCGTGGATGAACAAGGGACACATTTTATACACAGATAATTACTATACAAGTCCCTTGCTAGCTCGGTTCTTGCTAGAAAATAGAACCGGATTGGTTGGTACAGTAAAGCCACAACGAAGGGAAATGCCTGTGTTTGACAACGACATTGCAGTTGGTGAGTGTCAGAGAAGGAAAAGTGATAACATTCTGTCAGTTCGGTGGAAAGACAAAAGAGAGGTGAACTTGTTGACAACAATTCATGATGGAACAATGGTGAACAGTGGGAAAGTGAGCCATAAAACAAACGCACCACTATATAAGCCAGACTGTGTTTTAGACTATAATATCAACATGCGGTTGATTGATAAATCAGACATGATGATTGGCACTGCAGAGTGTGTGCGGAAGAATCTTGTGGACATGAGCATGCTGAACTGTTTCAACATGTACCTTGTGATAACTGGACGTAAGCCCACTTTCCGTGACTTTGTATTTGATGCTGCAATACAGTTATTAGGAAAGTTTGCAAAAGATGTCCCAGGTATTCAGCGGCCCATCATAAACCCACTGTTGCAGCATGCTGGTACTCCACGCCTCGCTCACACTGAAGGCTTCCTAGCACACAAACTTAAGTATTTGCCACCTGGTGTGAAGCGTGCAATAGCCCAACGTGATTGCTTGGTGTGTAAAACAACGACACGTAGAGACAAGAAACGGAAGCTTGTGCAAACATGGTGTGAAACGTGTGGTATCCCATTATGTGCTGTCGACTGCTTCAATGACTACCACAGTCTAGAAATCTTCTAAGTGTGCTTCAAAGTGTGTATAGCGTGTGCGAGTGTGTAAATATGTAAACATATAAGCAGAACATATAATATAATAGACTGTAATGACATATTATATTGCCGTAATTGAAAACATTTGTGTGCGCCTGTGTATACTCAAATATGCAACAATTATTGATACAAAATATGTTCAAACAGTATTTGAAACACAATTAGTGAAAAAAAATTAGATAAAATGCGCTTAGACATTCTAAATAAATAGCGCGAAAATATATTTGTGGCAACTCTGGCTGTTTGAGGACCGCGCGCAACATCTCCCGGGCGTGTACTGCATGAGCGACCATGCAGATTGTGACGTCATCGCAGAGCTTCTCGGCTCTATTGCAACAAAAGTAAGTACAATAGAATTTTTTTTTTATTTTTCCCGTGATCAGTGAACAGAACTTAACAGATTAGCAAAAAAAAAAAATTTTTTTTTTTTTCAAAATGACATGCGCCTGTATGGATAGCAGGATATTAGACCCCGAGCATGTTAAGGGTTAATGACTAAGAATTGGTAATCTTCCCTAGTGTGCAGTTTCATCCAGAACACACTGCTGGTCCTGAGGATTTGGAGTCTTTATTTGACATATTCCTGGACCAGGCACGGCAGTCAAGTCGAGGGATTACACGTGAAAATTGGGACCTGCCGTCTGTGATCACCAATCACCTCACTTACAAGTAAGTCTTGTGAACAGTTTCCAGTGTTGGATACACAAAGTTATGTTAATTTGGGTATTCATGCCTTTGTATTGCTGTGAATGAAATTATAAACAAATATATCGTTTGGTCATCATCATTATTGCTGTTCATAAAAACGTTTATCAAGTCCCATTTTTTTAAAATTCAGATATGGGTGTCCCAGTAATTTATAATTTTAACCATTACAGAAAGGATAGGGGAAAGAGGGGGGTGGGAGAGGGTGGAGAAGGATAGAGAAAAGAGGGGAAGGGAGGGAGAGAGAAAAGAGGGGAAGAGAGGGAGAGGGAGACGGAAGAGGGATGATGAGGAGAGATCCTGGGTACTATCATGAGCACCGCTTAGTACTCCTTCCACTAATTAATTTATTAGCAAGATCTTGAAATTATCAGACCAGATCATAGCCCGGGAAGTATTGGTTTGAAAACGGATGCAAATGATGTAGCAAGTTTTAAAAATAGGCTTGATAGATACATGGGGAGTTTGCGCAGTTAAATATATATAAAATAATTTGATTTAGGGAAAAGTACGTACATACAAAATGAGTTACAAGCAGAATGTTGAATTTCTAGATAAAGCAAGTACTGTATGTACTATGAGTAAATTCACTGCAGCAGTATGCACAGTGTTTCGAGCAAGGTGAATGCAAGATAAACATAAGTTAGTTATTTTGACGGAATATTTTGGGTTTCTGTCGGGCTGAAGAGCACAGTGAAACTGTCAGGAAAAAATTTGAGGTGAACAGAGTTAAGGAATAATGTTAATAGATAGTTGTGACACCTGGTGGTAGTTTCGGGTAGCAGTCTGTGTATAAGCAGGTGCTTGTATGTAGATGAATAAACCATTTTAAGGTCAGTGTGGGCTGCAATAAAAAATTCAGTGTTTACCTTGCATCAACATGGCCTGGTGGGGGGGGGCTTTTTTAAATATTCCAGGAAGAGATTACAATAGGTTTATTGCCCAAAATAAAAGATCTAAGCTGTGTAGATGGTCCTGGGAACTTAATCCAACGTTCTTTAGATGAAAAGAGAACTAAAGGGGGATATAATCACTATATACAAAATACTGTACTGAAGTGTAGAGATAAGGTAAATTAGAACTGTTTTTTTCAAGTAGATGAAAATTGGACAAAAAGACATGAACAGACACTGGATTTAGAAATGAGCAAAAAGAGATGTACAAAACACTTGTATGCAATGTTTGGTCAACATATGGAATTTAATGAAAGTAAGTCACCTCCATCCATAGATTCAAGAAAACGTATGACAGAAATACGTACAAAATGGGTAACCATCAGGCTAGATTATGTTGCAGAAATAGTGTTTAGTCTCTAGTCTATATATACCAAGTCGGATGATTGCAGAAGGGTATTTAGATAGACCAATATAGGCTTATTGTAGGATTAACTATGAATATCTCGTCATATCTTCTTGAATACACATTAATTAGTTTGTTTTATGATTTCTACAGACCGTTTGCTGATGTGCCTCAGGCAGACATTGGCCGACTGCCTAACAAAGTTCTCATTTTGGGCTCCGGTGGACTTTCTATTGGTCAAGCTGGAGAGTTTGATTACTCTGGTAAGTTTAGTACTGTATACAGTTCAGTACGACTATGTTTTATTTATGAAGAATTGGTATACAGATTTAGATGGAGGTAAAACTGGTCTGTCTCTGTTATAGGTTCGCAAGCGATCAAGGCAATGAAAGAAGAGGGGGTGGAATCGGTCCTCATGAATCCTAACATAGCAACAGTTCAAACAAGCAAAGGCCTTGCAGATAAAGTGTATTTTCTTCCTATTACTGCATCTTACGTTGAACAGGTTGGTAATTTTTGCTTTTCTAACAAATTAGTGATGCCTGTGTGTGATGGTAGAATGTTCGGATATTGGGGCCCGGTGAGGTAGTTTCCTGGTTCATGTTCCGAGATGCACTGGCTTGGGGATACAGTACCCAACTGTAGTACCCAACTATACCTAATTGGGGATACTAGCTGCATTTTAAGTATTTATAGTTAAGTTTAGTGATAGTTCCATTCTTTATGTAGTTTTACTGGGCAAGATAAAAATATAACTTATTATAATCTAAAGCTTTTCATATCAAATTTAATAGATATATTTAATTATTATATTTTTACTTAAAACTAATAAAGTTCAGTACTAAAAAACATCTCTTCTTAGGTAATCAAATCCGAGCGTCCCGACGGTGTCCTCCTTACATTCGGAGGACAAACTGCCCTAAACTGTGGTGTGGAGCTAGAGCGGGCAGGTGTGTGGGCCAAGTATGGAGTTCGAGTTCTTGGTACTCCGATAGCATCCATTGTGCAGAGTGAAGATAGGAAGATGTTTGCCGAGGTGGTGGCCTCTGTAGGTGATAGAGTTGCCCCTTCAGCTGCTGTGTACTCTGTGGAAGAGGTATGAAAAGTCTTTGCTGCATATTTTGCAGTAAAAAATATGAATAGAAAATTTAATTGTATAGTTTTGCTAGTCAACTGATATTTAATAATCTTGATCAGATAGTTCCCCTCTTCTCAGTTTTTCATTTTTAACCTTGGTTAATAACTTTGATTTCTTTTATTCAGGATAAACCACTTATTAGGTGTTAGCAGTTTCTCTGGTTTACTAAGATTTGTGCTATTTTGGAAGAAAGTTTTATAGGTATAGATATACAGTACAGTACAGTATACAGTTCAACACCAATTCGACAAACCTCAGTTCGGACAAAATCTCCGGTTGCAGAGGAAGATTTTATATTTATGTTGCAAAGACAAACTAACCTAACCTAACCTTCCAAGCCCTAATACATGCTATCTGAGGCCTAATATAATACATATGTGTGCTATATTAGGCCTAGGAATGTTTAAGTTTGTATTTTAGCTTAATTTTTTCTGACTCTGTATATAATACAGTATATTATAGTACAAATACAGTAGTACAAAATTCTACTATCTAATTCCTTAGTACATTAATGTTTGTACTATGGTGCACATAGTTACAAGAAGTACTATCTAAACAGGAGGATGGGTTGTACGATAAGAGGGCAGAGTGCTCAAGAGCAGGATAAGTGGAAGTCACTGGGGAGGGGGGGGGGGGGAAGCAGTAGGTGCAAGTATGTGGGATGAGTATAGCAATGAGGAAATATGAGAGATATTGTACGAGTGTAAGAGATGAAGAAATGACATGTGGATTGGGGAAAACATAATATACTTATGCAGGCGATGAGTCACAATAATGTGGCTAAAGTATAATGACCAGACCACTCACTAGAAGGTGAAGGGCGACAACAGTTTGGTCCGTCCTGGACCATTCTCATGTTGATTGTTCGACCTGAGAATGTTCGCACAATCGACTTGAGAATGGTCCAGGACGGACCGAAATGTCGTCGTCCCTTCATCTTCTAGTGTGTGGTCTGGTCATTATAATATACTTAGGTGGTATGAACATGTTAGAATGCATAAGAATCATTTAATGAGGAGGTTTAAAAAAAATGTGAAATGAAGAGATCATATGACAGAGAGAGAGACTTTGTATCTTGAAAGGGAAGATTTGAACAGTATATAATAATAAGATGAGGAGAGGTCATACAGTTTGAAAGAGGCAATGGTAATCCACTCGATATAAGGACCTCTGAGTTACTGTTCCCCTGGTTCTAACAACCAAATTTGAGATTGGTAACTGGAGTCTTATTTACCGAGTCATTGGCGGTAAAAGCCAGAAATACGGTATTGAATTTACCCTGTGCTTTGTTCATTAAACTGGCGGCAACTATTGGATTTGTTGTGACAATTTTGCCCTCGCTAGGGCAAGAGTTATGTTTTCCTCTTCACAGATTTATTGCCAGTTATGGGAATGGGGGGCTGGAGGAGGGATCAGGTGTGATCTATAGACCAACTGCTAGTCTGTGTTAGTCCTTGTCTGATATCTTTGCTTTCTACTCGCCCAGTACTGCCTACCCTCTGCTGTCCACCCTCTGTCGCTCTTGTCATTTGCTCGTTAGCGCCTGCTGGCCTGCCCACCATCCTGAACCAAAGATTTTCTCATTTCATAGATATATATCACATTGTGATGTCATTGTGTATGAGGTAGTTGTTAGTTAATTGAGCTTAGGAGCAATAATATACATAAGAGATGAAGAAGGTTTTAGCAACTTATATTTGCAGGAAAATAGGAGAAAGGTACAAGAAGAAGTAAATATTATAATTGAGAAAAGTAAGAATAAGAAAATTAGGAGATAGTATTTGCTATTCTCAAAGAATGTATATTAATTTTTAATTTCTAATACCAGGCTCATGAAGCAGCTGAGAGAATTGGGTATCCAGTGCTTGCTCGGGCAGCATATGCCTTAGGAGGACTTGGTTCTGGCTTTGCTGACAATTCACAGGAACTGGCTAAACTAGCAACATCAGCCTTTGCTCATTCACCCCAGCTTATTATAGGTGAGATACATGCACATTCTCTTTATGCCAGATGTTAAGTATTTGTTATTAAAGATTTCATGTCGTTTTGGCCTATCTCTGGGTGGCTTCCCTAGCTATTATAAATGAGCCAGGCACCAGTTTACTGGGTCGACAGTCTCCGTGGTGTAGTGATAAGACACTCGCCTGGCGTTCCGCGAGCGCTATGTCATGGATTCGTATCCTGGCCGGGGAGGATTTACTGGGCGCAATTCCTTAACTGTAGCCTCTGTTTAACGCAACAGTAAAATGTGTACTTGGTTGAAAAAACGATTCTTCGCGGCAGGGGATCGTATTCCAGGGACCTGCCCGAAACGCTACGCGTACTAGTGGCTGTACAAGAATGTAACAACTCTTGTATATATCTCTCTCTCAAAAAAAAAAAAATCCCAGATAAAGGGGTGGGTGCCCTGAATTTTTGGAGTTTCTCTGTCTTGGGGGAAGGTGCTTCCATGTGGGTTCTTTTTTTATCTGGGCATCTCAATTTAAATTTTCTTTTTCCTTGGAGATTTTCCACTCCTTTAACCTTTTTATGTCACAACTGCCTCTTGGCCCTTCTTCTCCTTGAGAGCACGTATTCTTGTCTCAGGCATTGGCGAGGACTTTGGCTCTTCCCTGGGGCTTCAGTGGTATGCTTCTAGGGATAAGGCCCGAGGAGTGCCCCTGGGTACTTTTCAGCCCTGATTGCTTGTTGGTTCTCTCTGTGGAGGATCTTGTGTTGCAGTGGAGGTGGTGGGGGAGATTATATTTATCTCCCTCCCCTACCTTGTATGAGTTGGACTGTTTGGCTGCTCCTCCTCTGGTTGCTTCATTTGTCCTGTTAGATGACTCAGATTTGTCCTTTTTCTGGAGGGTTTCCATCCTCCCACCCTGTGCCTTTTGGTGATTCGTATGGATTTGCTTCAGTACCTCCTGTGGAGCTCAGACTTGTTTTCTGTGATGGCTCTTTCCTCTCTTGAGTTCTGATCGGCCTCCTATTTTTGGTTGCAGTATGGGGTCTCAAGTTCATCCTGGCTGGCTGACAACCCTCTTGTTTCCTTGGGGTCTTGGCAAGGGTTCTGTTGTTTCTGTGCACTTGACTGACAGGAAGTGAGCTCTTGTCTTTCAGGTATTTCTGAGTGTGGCTCAATATTCGCCACTTTTGTCTTGCCTGTTTGCTCTGGCACTTTCAAAGGTAAATGACACCTCCTTGTGCAACTGCCTTCGCTGTCTGGGGACTCTTATTACTGATGACTACAAGGTGTGTTCGCACCTGGGCCCAGATACGTCTTGTGTTTCTGAGTCCTTGTTGAGGGGTTTGCTGAGCATCTTCGTGGGGATGTGGCTTTGCTGGGATCAGCTCTGGGTGCAGAAGCCTACATTTCAAGCCCTGGTGACCTTTCCCCAGATGCTCACCCCCACTCCTTTGGAAGGCAGTGGTAGCATTTTATCCTGCCCGCCTCACATGTAGGGAGGTTATGCAGGGCCATTGTTTAGATTTAGCATGGTCTTTTACCCTTGTAGGAAAAAGGGGGGGCAGTCACTTTTCTTTCCAGAGGATGTCATGTCTCTGGTGGTTTTGGCAGAAGATTCTTCTGCCTCTCAATTGATCATATGTTTGTTTAGGGTTCTGTCCCCTTTTGGAGGCGATTTGGTTAGGTAGGACCTGTTGTTGGTCGAGGTAGGCAACCGGGTGGGTCAGGTTCCCGGCCCATTGCACTTCCTTGGGGGATTCCTCCTCTGCTAGATGTCACAATCACCAATTGTGGATGTCTGGTTCCTCTCGGGGCTCCTGCTGGCCCTTTTGCAGTTTGCCCTATGCCATTGTGGGGGGCATCTGGCCCATTTTGCCAGCCCCTGTTCTGGGTTTTCAGGTTGTTTCCCAAGGTTTTTGGTGGAGCTGTACAGTCCCTTTCCTGTTTTTTGGGTCGAGTCTGTTGTCAGTTGTCTCCAGCAGTGTGTCTGGTCCTTGCAGATTGGTTGGCCTCAGGTGTGGTTGAGCCAACCTTGTCCCTTTGGTGAGTGTCCTGGTTGTTCCCAGTCCCTGAAGTGAGACTTGGTGGCTGTGCGGTACAATCTCGATCTCTTGGGCCTGAATTTCTTCATCCTGTATGGCATGCGATTGGAAGTCGTACCCTGGAGTACAACTAACAAACCTGTTGTTACTTTCTTATGAACACTAGGAGGAATATCTAGATATATTTGACAAAATCACAAGTCAAAAACAGGAAATCATATTCTACATGGGACAAGAAATACACCTTGGGGTATAATTTCACAATGGGGTTTTATAATTATTGCAGGAGGCCGCCACATGTCACACAAGCGATGACCGGACTGTTCTCCAACCCAAAACCAAGTGAATGAGACAGCTAGCACATCTGTGTCCAACTGCTCAGTTCCAATAATGTTTCATACACACTTGTATCTCCCAGTACAGTAGTTCATTTATGTCTTATAAATTTCCAGGCAGTTTTTCAACATTTAACACTTTCGCGCTTTAGATTAGAGATAACTCGTCGCCGTTTTTTCTTACGATTCCGCATAACAGCCTACTTTTCTCGTCCATCGAAAAAATATTTCTATAAATTCCATTTTTTAACCGAAATGGATGGGGATACTCTCAGATTATATACGTTTTGTAGAGAATTTATTTGCAAATTTTATGGTACCAGAATGAATATTATATCACATAAACTTCTATGAGTAAAAAAAAAAATACACAAAGTATGTTTGGGGGTGTGGCGAGCGTGTGGCAGTGGGTTCCCTTTAGCCGTTGATATATCCAACACGTGGGAAATATTTGTATGTGTTATGTATATGTCTGTGTAGGGAATTTTACTGCGATCACTGTCATACAAATTATAAAATGTTTCAACAAGTATAAACATGACAAACATCAAACGAACGAAAACAATGCGTTCGTTTCTGCCGCGAACGCATACTGAGCGACGTGGTTCTATATTTGGCGCTTCTCTTACACATGCTTTGTACAAATGTTATACATTTCATCTTATAGAAAATTTTATTGCGAACACATTGGTATAAAAAGGAAATACGTACATAGAAAAGTAGGGTCAGGAAACGTATAAACTTTCAAAGCATGATTTCCCCCCTGTGTTTTCGCCAGTGCGCTCCCGGCTAACTACTCTCCACTTCACACACTCTTGCGGGTAGGCAATTACCTATATTAAACATTCATATGCATATGTCCGTGTAGAGAATTTGATTGAGATTCCAATGATACCAAAATTAGCGATGTAGGACAACTGTAGGCTTCGCAACCATTAAGAGAGTGGAAACATTTTGTTGCTGTTTGGCGCTCTCGGCGAGTGATCTGCATAGTTTTTTATTTGGTGTTGATACTCCTTATGCTTGGGTGGCATTTTATAGGTATGCTCTTATAGACAATTTCATTGCGAACACAGTGATACCAAATTTAAATACGTGCGCCTTCAATTATTGTCAGGACAGTCAAAAGAGTGTACACTTTTTCGGTCTTACCGCGTAGGCGCGCGAAGTGCCGAAAGCATCTGGGGTATTGTTTTTTTTTGAGCGCCGAGAGCGTGAAAGTGTTAACACTGTTGTTTCTATATATATTTTTCAGCACTGAATATACTTTTTAAACATGTATTTTCTTTGCTGTTTACACTGTTCTGGGGATGACACTTTCCTGCTATGACAATGCTCTCTGCATGTGCAGAACTGAATATTTAATGAATATTACTGCAGTACTGAATATTGTACTGGTAAGGATTCGAAATGGAAGAGTTCCAGACTGTTTTTCAACATTTAGCACTGCTGTTTCTATGTCTCTTGCCTGGGTTATGCAAGAGACTTCACTAGAGTCTCTCTTGCAATCCCTTGCCCGACCTTCCGCGTGACCACTTTGGCCTACGTTTGTCTGCTATTGCAGGCAGAGGCTTGAATGGTATCCCTGGACCTCCAGGATGCATACTGGCATGCCCATATTCATCTGGGGTTCTGGGACTGGTTAGGCTTTTTTCATGGGGCATTGAGCTTACCACTTCAGGGTTCTTCCCTTTGGCTTGAACTTGACTTCCTGTGTGTTTACTAGGCTAGAGTGGGTTATTGTGGCTCAGCTGCATTTGTTAGGGCTTTGTGTTTTGGCCTACCTTGATGACTGGCTGGTGTGGGCCCCAGTCAGATTGGGTGTCAGTTGACCAGGGATCTGGTTCTTTCCCAGCTCACCGTTTTTGGGTTCTTGGTGATCTGGCGGAAGTCCCAGTCGGTATCATTCCAGGTTTGGATTTGTCTGGGTCTTGTTTGGGACTCTTTGTTAGTTTCTCTCTCTGCCTCCCGTGACTTTGCTCTGTCTGCAGCTTCAGTGCCATCTCTTGTTGAATCGACTTTGGGTGACTTGCAGGTTGGTCGAACAGTAATGCAGGTTGGTCGAACAGTAATGCAGGTGCTTAAACTTTGCCTGTATTGTCTTTTTCCTGGGCAGAGTTTGGCTCTGAGCATTGTACTATTTGCCCCTATTCCGTCCCTTTTGCCGCTACCAGGTCTCGCAGGTTCGGACTCTTCCTGCCATTCGTTGGCTCTTGCTTTGCCTACTTCTCCCTTCAGTTTTTAACGGTTTGGTTCCGTGACACCAATATGTGTGTGTTTACTGTGCTTGATGTGTTTACAGACACCTAATCTCTTGGGTGGGGCTTAGCAACCATTGCTTGCTAGGCTGCCCAGAGTCAGGTGGTCTGTTCTGTCAGGTGCAGAGCACAGTGCTCAAGTTTGTGGCTGTTTGGCATGCCACCAGGGCTCCTACAGAAATTGGCGTTTCATTACATTCAATGATTATGACAATGCTTTATCATACTCACTGTACAGTGTTTATTTTCAGGATTTTTGAATGAAACTCAATTACAGAAGTAAGTTATGTAAACTGAAATTTTAACTAAAATTTGGTGCCTGAAAGTTAATACACATGAATTTATAAATAGAAAATTAACTAAGAACATTTGTTTAAATTCCAAGAAATAAATTGAGTGACTCGTCATTTTAACAGTAGGGATGTTTTAATGTATTTGTATTTCATGGCAGATAAATCACTGAAAGGATGGAAGGAAGTAGAATATGAGGTAGTGCGAGATGCCTTTGACAACTGCATAACGGTAAGTTTACAAATACAGTACCGTACAACCATCAATGATAATCCTAAATTGACAAATATCACGTAAATGCAAGTTTAATACATTAGTGATAACCAAAGGTTTACATTATTGATGGTAGCCTTGCTTTCTCTTTGGCGGAGGTCTGGTCTAAAAAGGGTGCCATGGAAGCATCTTGAGTCACCTTTGACCTTATGTGGATGTTGGCATCGAGGTTAATTGGGACTTGGTTGTGTATAAGCGAGGTGGTTTATCTTTTCTTCTCAGTTTGTTCTTGATTCTACTTCAGGACCCCCTCAAGTCCACTTCCTTGTCTTTGGTGAAGACTGTTGGGCCTATGTTGCACAGGTACTAAGCTTCTCACTTGCCTCCTTAATAGGATTTGTCCAGGCATAACAACCCACACCACAACTACCAGATTAACAACATTACCTTACAGCAGATTGAGGAAAATGGACCTTGGAGTCAATATCCACCACTCGATGAAAGTTACACAGCAGGTAGATGCAGCAGTCAAAAAAGATAACCAAACACTTGGAATAATCAAGTGTACCTTTGACTTCAAGGAAAAGAAGGCAGTGATTCAATTATATATCTCTGGTGCGTCTCCATTTGGATTACTGTATCTAGGCATGGATACCTCATCTTCAGAAGGCTATAGCTGCTCTGAAGAAAGTGCAACACAGTGCATTAAAAATCATTCCAGAGCCAAGTCAACTCATGTATCGGGAATGGTTAAGGACCACGGGGCTAACAACATTGCAAACCAAGCATGACAGGGTGGATGTTATTGAAATTTTTAAAATACTGAACAATTTGGAAGATGTTGAGTGGGAAAATTTCTTCAAAAGGTCATATGTAACACAAACAAGTAACAATGGTTTTAGTTTCAACAAGCCGCAATGTAGGACTGAGAACAAGAGATGGTTTTTCACCCACAGGGTTATTAACCCATTGAATCATTGAATTATTGTGTTGTCTGCCATGATCCTCTCACACAGAAGTCTACTCTACACCTCCACAATCAAATTTATAAAATATTAGAGGAGGTGGGGTGAGTGGATGGGGTGTTTGTTATTACTGTCACTCTCTCATGAGTTTTCCTAGCTCTTGCTGGTGGTCAAGAAAGATGGTACAAAGCCCTGGTGGTTTCTTGATTTGTTAAGGCGGATTAAAAGTGCCAAAAAGTTACGTAAATTGAAGCCTGGTGATATGTCGAGTAAGTTTTGGTTAATTTTGCTGAACTCGCAAGATAATTGGCACATTAACATTGGCTGAAGGTTCTGGGATTAACTGGAGTTTGGCAGATGCCATGCCTCTCACCTTTGGGCTCAACCTGGCATCCAATAAGTTCACTAGACTCACTTGTGTGGTTTTGTGGGAGCTTCAGCTCTGGTGCAATTTAGAGGTTTAGGAGCAACCAAAAATCCTGCTCAGAAAGAGCTTTTCATATGCACTCACAACTATTTTATTAGATTTTAATTAGATTTTAATTGTACTTGGATTGAGGCAGTAAATTTGCATCAAATATATGTAGTCAGTCTATTACATGTTACTGATCTTTTTACTTACATACACAGACAGCATTATCGAAGAATTAAATTTTGTTTACAGGTGTGTAACATGGAAAACATTGATCCTCTAGGGATTCATACAGGCGAGAGTTTTGTCGTTGCTCCATCTCAAACTCTGACAAATAGGGAATACAATATGCTTCGCTCCACTGCCATCTCTGTTGTCAGACGTCTGGGTGTGGTGGGGGAGTGCAACATCCAGTACGCTCTTAACCCAGCTTCAGAGGAATATTACATAATTGAAGTGAGTACCAGGAAGACTTTTAAAAGTTCTTACTACATTAAATAATACTGTATTAGTTCTTTGTTAAATATGGTTCTATGTAAAATGCGCATTACAATATTCATTAAGTTATTCAGGTTGCCAATTTAAGTAATTCCTTTTCTGTGATAGGTGAATGCTCGTCTGTCCCGCTCTTCTGCTTTGGCGTCTAAAGCCACTGGATACCCTCTGGCATATGTGGCAGCTAAGCTTGCCCTTGGAAAGGCTCTTCCTGACCTAACTAATTCTGTAACTGGGTCAACAACTGCTTGCTTTGAGCCATCTTTGGATTACTGTGTTGTAAAGGTCCCTCGCTGGGATCTATCAAAGTTTAACAGAGTCTCTACAAAGGTAAAGTAATTTGTTGATACAGTACAGTACTGTATTGAAGATTTATATTGTATTAAATGGAAAATATCTTAACTGAAGTAATTGAGCATCCATGAATAGAATGATAATGAATATATATATTGTATGTTTTTATTATTTCTAAACATTATTGTCAATTAGAAGGGCAAAGATTTTTCAAATTGCTTTAATACTTAATGTCAGTTAATGTGGCAGTTCTTTGCATATAATTTTGATACTATATGTACATTAAGATAAAAATGATTTACATTTGAATGCATTATTAAATACATTTATATGTAGATAGGGAGCTCAATGAAGAGTGTTGGAGAAGTGATGGGCATTGGACGCAGCTTTGAGGAAGCATTGCAAAAGGCTCTCAGGATGATGGATGAAGCATTACATGGCCTTGATCCATACGTTAGTGAACCAGATGAGGAGGTACGAGAACCTCCGTTTTATTTATTATGTCATGCCAGACTTAGTTGTTCAATATATTCCTTGATCTCTATATCTCTTTATCACATCAGTCCGTCAGATATAATCTCTATTTAATACTAGTTTAACCCTTTGAGTACGCAGATGTCTCTCTCTCATTACACTTTGTAAATTCTTTGGGTAATTATACAAATATTTGGTGCTATTAATTTATACAGAACAAGATGGCAAAATCTGGAAAGATAATAATAAATTGTTGAAGTGTGAATGAGACATAGACAGCTGTAGTGACCTTGTGGTACTGTACTGTCAAACCTTCTTATACATTGCAGATGAGGAGTCACAATAATGTGGATGAAATATGTTGACCAAACCACACACTAGAAAGTGACGGGACGACAACATTTCGGTCCGTCCTGGACCATTCTCAAGTCGATTGTGAGATTGGTCCAGGACAAACTTGACTTGAGAATGGTCCAGGGCGGACCGAAACTTCGTCGTCCCTTCGCTTTCTAGTGTGCGGTTTGGTCAACTTCTTATACATTATTTACTTTTAATGTGATTATTTCTAAGATTTTTTTTGTCATGCTTTCACTTAGTCTTATTTTCAAAATGTGTAGTTTTGTATTTGTGTAAATTCAAGCTCCATAATTTTCTATTTAAAGACCTGCAGACATGCTATATAAACTTCTCACAGTGTTGCAAAATATATATATAAATTTTGTGACATCACTACACATTGTTATAGGATTGCAAGCAAGTGATATTCAGGAAACACAACAAACACAGACACTAGGCACTTATGATAGTAATTCCTAAGTGTGGTTACAAGATCATTTTTTTTGCAATCATCTTGAGGTTATCTTGAGATGATTTTGGGGCTTTAGTGTCCCTGTGGCTCGGTCCTCGACCATTCCTCCACCCCCAGGAAGCAGCCTGTGACAGCTGACAAACACCCAGGTACCTATTTTACTGCTAGGTAACAGGGGCATAGGGTGAAAGAAACTCTGCCCATTGTTTCTCGCCGGCGCCCGGGATCGAACCCGGGACCACAGTATCACAAGTCTAGCGTGCTGTCCGCTCGGCCGACCGGCTCCCTCGCTAACACTGCAGAATCGCTCGCTGCAGAATCATTGATTGACACTTGCAGAATTTTTTGTGTGACATGAGAATCATCAGAGCAAGGATTCAGTGCATTTTATATAATTTTATATACATTAGTGTCTCTCCATTTTGAACATGTCACTGGTCCTGAAGACTTGTTGGGTTTAGATTTTTCTAATTGCATAATAACTTTTCCCTGGTAACCATTAGACTGGTTAACTTGTTCTTTTCACCATATACAGTACATAGATTAGTTCACCTTCATGTAAAATATCCAAGTCTTCTCTAATAAATACAGGGAGACAAAGTTTGTAATACCACCTGTTTTTCTAGCTGTATAAAATATTGTTCTAGACATTCTTGTCCATTCTTAATTTGCTTGTATATAGCTTTATTTACCCCTCGTTACTGTAGATCTTATATCTAATTTTACTATTATTGGCGGAACTGTGACTTCTTTCTTTTTTATTGCAGGAACTACGACAACCGACAGATAAACGAATGCTGGTCTTAGCTGCTGCCCTCAAGCAAGCATGGGATATCGATAAACTGTATAACCTAACAAGAATAGATAAGTGGTTCCTATACAAGATGAAAGTAAGTCTGCTTCATAAAAACTTAAATTCATTCAAAATATTTAATGTCGCAATATCATCCATTGGAATACCGAGTCTTAAGGAGAGAATTCTGTTTTCAGAGTTTAATTGAATACTGTATACCTGACAGCCACCATCTCCAGTGGCCTCCTTGAGGACTGGAAGCTTGTGACATGTGAAGGATTTTCTTGTTTTGTCTTTATTTTTCTAAGGTATGTTTTCACCGCAAAATAGTTGCAGTATATTATTTCTCTTATCCATCTGTCTATTCCAGTCTTGTATATTGGTTATTTTGAGATAATGTCAACCAAATGTTTAATACAGTTTTTATGTATACAGTAATAGACCTGATTAACCTTTAGGAGATATTGAGGCGAAGATCAATGCCTGGTGAATACTCATACAAGTCTTGCATTTGTGAAATCTTCAGCTAGAGACATTGATATTGACTAAGCTTATACAATAGGTTCTACATTGTCCAGGCTAACACTGCAGGTAGTAATTACCTAAGTGTAGTTACAGGATGAGAGCTGTGCTTATGGTGTCCCATCTTCCCAGTACTCTTTGTCATATAGCATTTTGAAATTACTGACGGTTTTGGCCTCCACCACCTTCTCACCTAACTTGTTTCAATAATGAGGTAGAACCTCATTGTCCAGGCTAACACTGCAGGTAGTACCTCATTGTCCAGGCTAACACTGCAGGTAGTACCTCATTGTCCAGGCTAACACTGCAGGTAGTACCTCATTGTCCAGGCTAACACTGCAGGTAGTACCTCATTGTCCAGGCTAACACTGCAGGTAGTACCTCATTGTACAGGCTAACACTGCAGGTAGTACCTCATTGTACAGACTAACACTGCAGGTAGTACCTTATTGTCCAGGCTAACACTGCAGGTAGTACCTCATTGTACAGACTAACACTGCAGGTAGTACCTCATTGTCCAGGCTAACACTGCAGGTAGTACCTCATTGTACAGGCTAACACTGCAGGTAGTACCTCATTGTACAGGCTAACACTGCAGGTAGTACCTCATTGTACAGGCTAACACTGGAGAAATGGAGTAGTGATGAGGCATTTTATTATTATTGGTATTATTGTGATAGCTAAACTGTTTATTTATTCATTTGTGCAAAAATTTATTAACGTTTGTCGCATGATTAAAGATATTTAGCTGCAATGCTGAATAACTCTTATATTTTATGTGTAATAAGTTAGTATTTTAAGTATTATTATTATGTGGTACTTGTCATACCTGGTTGATGGGGTTCTGGAAGTTCTTCTACTCCCCAAGCCTGGTCCGAGGCCCAGGCTTAACTTGTGAGACTTTGGTCCACCAGGCTGTTGCTTGGAACAGCCTGCAGGCCCCACATATCCACCATAGCCCGGTTGTACCCCTGGCTTTGTAGTTAGCTGTCACAATCCTCTGACCAGAAATATCTTTCACTCTTCAGAACATTACTTCTATGTATGATCAACTGGAAAATCTCGGCGACGAAGAACTCGATGAAACAATTCTGTATCGAGCAAAGCAGCTTGGGTTTTCTGATAAGCAGATTGGGAAAGCTGTTCAGTGCACTGAACTTGCTGTTCGAGCCCTCAGGGAAAAACATGGTTAGTTGCATCTGAAAATTTATTCCTGTTTCACATTTTAATTTCCTAATTATCGTTTTCTAGGTGCATTTTTAATAAGATGCCATGTTGGATAAATTCTTTATGGATAAGATAAAGTGGCCAACTCACAGAGGTCAAAATCTATTAAGTCAAAAAAATTATTTGATACACTGCAGTACACAAGTAGCACTGTACCAGAATGTCTTCAGAGACGTGCATATATCATCACATTTGTTAAATATTTTATCTTTACATTGAATTTGTTTGAAATAAGTTGATAGGCCACCAGCAGATGTCAAGAAGATTAACTTTCTTGTTTTTATTTGTTTAATTTTGTGTAAACTTGACCTGTTGTAGTGATAATAGAACATGCAGCAGCCCCTCAAGATTTGGGCAATTGACACCTGCGGTAAAAATGATTAGATTGTATAAGATAAAATTATATGTAACAAAGAAAATTCAGGATACAATCTAATCTATTAATTATTTTCCATAAATTATTTTTACATTTTCTACAGTCCAAATTTATAATGAATACTTACATGATATATGGCACATATGAATATTTTCAAATATTGTCCCTGATTGGATTACATTTTACAAATGCAAAGTAATAGTTTTGTTTTGAGTTACAGAACTGTGATAATGAACCTTAATGCGCAAAATCATGTACGAGATTTTGTTAAAGCATTGGTGTATGTATTCAACGAAATCATTACAATACTCCGGTACAGTCGCTCGTCATAATTACTTTTTAAGGATGAAAATGTTAGTTAAATGAGTTTGAGCTCATTAGAATTAGAGTTATGTACTAACATATAATGAGCTTCACGTCTCTCCTTCAGGAATACTGCCAGGGGTGAAGCAGGTGGATACAGTGGCTGCCGAGTGGCCAGCAACAACCAATTACCTTTACCTTACTTACTGCGGCAAGAGTCATGACCTTGCCTTCCCTCCAGGGGCCACTATGGTTCTAGGTACGTTTCACTATGATCTATTTTGTCTTGTGCAGACATTTGGTCCCACTGATAGGGATGCCTCCTTTTCATATCGCCTTCCAAAAAGGTTTCTGCTAAATACAATGCACTTCAGTATTTAGAACGCCTCATCATATTGACTCGAAGCAATATTTTATTTTGCTGCTTGGTACTTATTGTTGAAATTTCAGATGCTATGTAATGCTGTACTGTTAAGTGTTTTGACTAAACTAATATGATTAATATTGGTTCAATGGTAATTATTTTTTTATCAAACAGGATCAGGTGTGTATCGAATTGGGTCATCTGTGGAGTTTGACTGGTGTGCAGTTCAGTGTATTCGAACACTCCGCAAATTAGGCCACAGGACCATTATGGTGAACTATAACCCAGAAACGGTTTCAACAGACTATGACATGTGTGACCGACTTTACTTTGATGAAATTTCATTTGAGGTGAGATTATCTATTTTGTAATAATAGTTTAAAAAGATGGTCTATTGCAAGGGTTAATTAAGAGGTAGGCAGCTGCAGGTATTTGAATAGGAAGAAGACCAGGAGGGGTAGACATTATATGTTTACTCACAATAATAGCTTTTATCACAGAGAAATCACATTAACGTGATATATCGATGAACAAATCCAACAGGAGCCTTGATGAGGGCTCGAACTTATGCACTCAGTGTTTTCATATTAACTTTTATATTAGTTTTTATATTAGTTCTCTTGATTAGCTAACCTAAGAACAATAGTCAAAAGCCTCAACAAGCATTCCTTAGAGACGATTTTTATAGCTTGTGTCAGATCAATCCTAGATTATGTAACACTGGTGGGACCAAAGAGCCAAAGTTCAACCCCCACAACCACAACTAGGCGAGTAGTATCGGCATAGAATAAACTTCTAGTGAAGTACTAAAACAAGGTTCCAAAACTTCAAAGGCTAGTACCTGAGCTAAGAAGTCCAAGCCATGAAGGCAGGTTAAGGGAACTCGATCCAATAATTTGAAGTAGAGATTGATCTGAGGGAATATAACTATGTACAAAATATTGATGGAAATAGACAAGGTGGACACGGTGAGCCTTTACAAATTTAGAGAAAATTGGACATGGTGAAGCTGAATGCACAGATGATCCAGAGAAAAGTGAAAAAAATCACTTGTATGCAGTAAGGATGCTCAGTATGTGGAATATGCTAAAGTCACCTTCATTTACAGTCTCTAGAGGAAATATTGGTAAGAAATTGAGGGAAGGGAATTATTGGTGAAAAGCGCCAAGCCATTATGACTATATAGCACTGGGAAGGGGTCAGGATAAGGATTTGGGATGGGACATGGGAAAGGAATAGTGCCCAATCACTTGGACGATCGGGAATTGAACGCCGACCTGCATGAAGCGAGACTGTAGCTCTACCATCCATCCCAAGTGGTTGGGTAGGGTAAACTGAATGGCAAATTTCGTGTACCATGTAAAAGTAGCTAGGAAACTGGAGCATGAGAACTAATCTCACAAATATAAACATTCGGAGGTAAGCACAACTAGTAAAACTGTCCTCTAACACTGAAGCTACTGCCACTATAACTACACAGCCACACAACAAATCCAACACTTAAAATTACACAACTTCCAAGGCACATATCCCACCCACCACTTTCCTTTAAAGATAGGCTTTAAAGATAAACTCTTGTATATATATAAAGAAATACAAAATTAAATTTAATTTTGTATGAAAAATGGCTTAATGTATTATTTCTGACTACATGTCAGGTTGTTATGGATATTTACAACCTCGAGAGCCCCCGAGGGGTGATCCTGAGTATGGGAGGACAGCTTCCCAATAATATTGCTATGGACTTGCATCATCAGAAGGCCCGCATTCTTGGCACCTCGCCAGAGTCCATAGACGGGGCAGAAAATAGATTCAAGTTCTCTCGTATGTTGGATCGCATTGGTATTTCCCAGCCGCAGTGAGTATTACAGCAGTGAATCATAGCCCTTGTTGATTAAAGTATAGGAATGTTTTGTACTTTAATCTTATTAGAAAATGATTAGTCTCTGATATGTAATTGTTTTATAATTATTTTTTATGTAATATTAACTTTGAATATATTTTTATGGCAGATTGCATCTACAAGTATGACTTGTAGATACATGGGCTTCATGGGCTTTTGTATGGGCTTCAATAAGTCTTTATTTCACTGCTCAGAGTCCTGCAAATTAGTCATTATCTGCACTGTCTTCTTATTCCCTACCAACTTTGCAAGTATAATAAAACAATTACTTCAATGTTGTTTATAGATGAATTTTATTCCAACAGATGGAAAGAACTAACAAATCTAAACTCTGCTCAAGCATTTTGTGAAGAGGTGGGGTTCCCCTGCCTTGTCAGGCCATCGTATGTTCTCTCTGGAGCAGCGATGAATGTGGCTCACTCACATCAAGACTTAGAGACCTACCTCAATCAGGCAGCAGCTGTTTCAAAGGAGCATCCTGTTGTTATTTCAAAATTCATCTTGGAGGCTAAAGTATGTAGCATTTGAATAATGATAAACTTTTGTGTTCTTAGTTAATAAAGGTAGGAATCTTTTATTCATTTAATTGAAAATTTTATTCAGTGACTTAACATAGTTATAGGAGGGGTGTGAAATATGTTCCCTGTCTCCATTCCATATGTGGCCTGCGGCCCACTCTCTGCTTCATCCGCACCTTGCGCACACTACTAACACAGTTAAAGTTAAAAGAAGTGCATATGTATAGGCAAATTGTATTGGCTTTTTGTCTTTTGTATCCTTTCAAAGGGAGGTGCTTTTAGGTCTTGTAGTATAAGATGTATTTGAACATTAGTCCAGTAAATATATTTATGGCTCTAAGTAGATCACTGTACAACACATGTTTTACCAGTAATCTCGAAGAGAAAATTTGTTTAAATATGACATGAGTAATACAATTAAATCTGAAGATATCAGCACTGGTTGCATTTCCTTTTATTGGTGTCAATTCCACAAACTCTCTTATTACCTGCATACCTTCATCAACACAGCCTACCCAACTCGCCTGAGGCTAAGAAGGCCGACCTCGGCATGCTGTCGTTAGGTCATGTGAATCCCAGTGCACCCTGCCAGCCAAAACTTGCTCCCAACCCCAGGGAAGACTGAAAGCCAAAAACAAAATGACTTATCCAGGGCAAGGACCACCACAAGTGAGGAGGCCCTCTGGAGGGAGTGAACCCCGAACACTTCAGGGAAGAGAACCCTGGCATCAAAAGGGCAGCACTAGTGAGCACACAGGGAAGAAATTCTGTTCACATGTAGCTGGAAGTGCCCTATACTCCTGGCTCACACAGCAGAAACATGCATTGGAATTGCTACAAAGGCAGAAAACCACAACTTGGAAAAACCTACAACTTGGCTGAAACAGAACATGGGAGCCAGAGTGCCAAAGAAGGCACCACACACTGTCTGCCATCAGCAAAGAACTGAGTGTGGAGCAGCCGGCTGATCCAGTCTGCCTCCCTCCTCCCTTCAAACAAGGAAAGGGGGGAGGGGGGGGTGGCACAAACGAGCTTGCGCAAGTTTCGTGATTTTTCGATCATTTGTTTACATTGTTTGGGAAGTGCTTTTGGTGATTTTGAGGCATTGATATTTCCTTATAACCGTCAGTGGTTGTTCCGCTGACTTTGTGACTGCTTCCCTGGTGGTCGGACTTAAAATACACTGACAATTTTATCATAGTGCCACTGTTCCCTACACCTCTTTAGGTTACCTAGAAGTTTGGCACTGTATCAGCATTGTAGCATCAGTGGGAAGCATTTATAGATCCCCACTGCCAGAAAAACTATTTTTCTGGCAGATTAATAAAAATGACTTTCCATGTGTATAGCTGGCATCTGACCCTTATATGCAGAATATTTTAATTCAAATTTTGTTTTTTGATTTTTGTATTTACTTTAATCATACCGGCTTAGTGCTGTCACTTCATAATTGTTTATTTTCAGGAAATTGATGTAGATGCAGTAGCAGCAGATGGAGAGCTTGTGTGTATGGCTGTGAGTGAGCATGTTGAGAATGCCGGAGTGCACTCTGGGGATGCCACTCTCGTCACACCACCACAGGATTTAAATTCGGAAACCCTGGCCAAGATTACCTCCATCTGTGCTGCTATTGGAAGAGCTCTTGAAGTCAATGGACCATTTAACATGCAATTAATTGCCAAGGTAAATTAATAAATAATGTTTAGCTATGGTAAGTGTTCTTATGTATATAATGTATGTGTTTATATGTATGTTAGGCTTATATCGAGGTCCCCTCAAGGACGAATTACTCTTCCCCACCCCTCCCTTCCCCGCCTACAACAAGCTGACTAACTCCTGGGTACCTACTTACTGCTAGGTGGTCAGGGTCCATGGCGATAGGAAATGCCATGGACCATTTCTGTCCCATCTGGGGTTCGAACCCAGAATTCTCAATTATGAGTTGAGAACAAAATCGACTACACTCCTGGGACCCTAGTTAAGCGATATTCTTTTTAACTTTACTTAAAGATGGAAATTATGATTCTATGTGATATACTTGAGTGAATTGAGAGTAAAGGGTGGATGTTTTAAATCACTGCTGACCTATATTTACTTTTAAATCTGAAGATCAAATGGAACCTATGATATAGGGTCAAGGTTATGTTGATAATTATCAGAAAACATTAGGTTATTCTTCACATAAAAGGCAGTGAACCTATGGAGTTGCCTTACCACCGAAACTGTGAAAAGACAGTACAGTACTCCATTTCGAAATTTAGTTGTAAAAAAATCATCAGGAATAATGGAGTGGGGAAGGGGGGGGGTGACCTTTATAACAACAATAATAATAATAATAATAATATAATAACATGTTTTAACATGCATTTGACATGCCACTGCCTTTCCTGTAGACAACAAGGCCATTATAGATGGCGGCCCTTGGGTAAATTAAGAAAAATAACAAAATGAATATATTCATTGCGGGACTAAAGCGAAAAGAATCTTCAGTACCGATGACCAGGGCCATGCACCTGTCAAAAAACGAATAATAGGAGTGGCCACAAGTTATCCAAGCATGTGCTGCTCAGGCACAATTTGCCTTTAATCACTCGTATTTTTGTAATGAAGTATAAAAGGTCTGTACAAAAAATGTTGTATAATTACTTAATTAACAGTAATGGCAGATCTTTGAGAAATGGTTTATTAACCTTTCAATATCAGGCTTAATGAATGATAGTGAGGCATGGAGTTTGTGTAAGAATGTGTGAAATTATATATGGAAGTGTGAAAGGCACAAAAGTATGTGTGTGTGCATATTAAAAAAAGGGCCAAGTTTTCACAGCCAGGGTCAAGTAGCAGCTGCAGGTGTAGCTAACTAACCTGACTTCTTGCCCAATAAATCTAAATTTTAACAGAATCAATGGGTATAAATTGGATAAGTTTAGATTTAGGAAAGACTTGGGTAAATACTGGTTCAGTAACAGGGTTGTTGATTTGTGGAACCAATTACCGCGTAAGGTGGTGGTGGTGATGGGGTCCCTCGATTGTTTCAAGCGCGGGTTGGACAAGTATATGAGTGGGATTGGGTGGTTATAGATAGGAGCTGCCTCGTATGGGCCAATAGGCCTTCTGCAGTTGCCTTTGTTCTTATGTTCGATTGTTTCAAGCGCGGGTTGGACAAGTATATGAGTGGGATTGGGTGGTTATAGATAGGAGCTGCCTCGTATGGGCCAATAGGCCTTCTGCAGTTACCTTTGTTCTTATGTTCTTATGTTCTTATGTAACCTTAAAGTTGTGATATTATAGTAAACATTTATGTACAGTTATGTGTAATAGACAAAAATTGATGATGTTTTGTAGCTTAAGATGCCATTAAGAAATGAAGTTTTTATATTAATGTTTTGTTCCTTTTTTCCATACAGGATAATCATCTGAAAGTCATAGAAACAAACTTGAGAGTGTCACGGTCCTTCCCATTTGTAAGCAAAACTCTTGATTTTGACTTTGTAGCTTGTGCTACCAAGGTGATTGTTGGTGAGAAGGTCACACCCACTCATGTTCTTCGAGGTGTTGGACGTGTTGGTGTCAAAGTCCCGCAGTTCAGCTTTTCTCGTCTTGCTGGTGAGACTTTCACTATACCAGTTAACTTTTTACAATTAAATAGAAAAGTAACCTTTTATTGCAGATGATGAGTTACAGTAACGTGGCTGAAGATATGATGACCGAACCACACACCAGAAGATGAGGAGACTGTGACCTTTCGGTCCGTCCTGGACCATTACAATACATGGCATGATAATGGTCCAGGACGGACTGATACACCATTGTCTCATCTTCTGGTGTGTGGTATGGTCATCATAACCTTTTATTAATTTATTAAATATCGGAAAATTATTTATTAAAGCAACATCCCTGTGAAGTGTATGTTCATGCCCCGTCCTTTCTTCATGAGATGCACATCAAAACCATCCCCTTTTCCTCTTTTGAGGTGTGCACTTGACAGACAAGAGACAGACAAATTGGTAAAGAGGCTGAAAGCAAGCCCACCACTGCCAGAGCCCAGCTAATCTCAGCATCAGGGTAAAGGAGGGGATTTAATGGGGTGGTGGCAGAAAGCAAGAAGAGTGATTCAAGACATCCCACCAGTTGCACAGGGACAGGGCACATAGAAATCAGCCACTGTGTCCTAGAAAAGTAATGTAAACAACTTGGGTGTAGCATTACATTGTAGCATTGTAACAGCAGACAACAAGACAGGAGGAAGAATAACCCTTGGTAAGAAAAGAGAGCTCCAGGTGCAACTGCACAGAGAAAGAACTGTGCTAAATATAAATGAAGATCCTTTACTGAACTGATTCGAGACTTGTGGCCCATGCAATCAAAGTTCCCTCGCTATGTAAGAGCATGAGCTTGAAAGCCGTACTCTTTGTTAGTACAGACTAACAAAACCCGTTCTTACTTTCTTATTTACAGTATAGGTACATTACTTTAAAACAGGGATGTAGAAGCAATATGCATTTATAAATTCTTCAAACACAAAAGTAACCATATGGGGCAGGTATTATATTTTTGAATTAGTGGGACTCGACAGTCAGGCGGAGTGCATGCATTACATTTATTAAAACACAGTAAATGGGCTAATACACTAACGAAGAATAATTGTCATTCACCATTATAACAACAGTGTTCCAGTCACTCAGATTTACTGTAGGTCAATAACCTCACACAATGAGGTGGGCTCCTCACGAGCTCACAACACACACCGTGTGTATGGAATCTTGGCTCTCTCTGTCCTCGTGGAATGCAGGGACGCTGCTCTCATAAAAATGTGCGGGAAGCTTTATGCAAAATATGATTCTTACACATTTACTAATATTCAACTTAACATACTCTCAAACACTTACAAATGAAACATAAAATGTAACACAAATAAAACAAACTGGTATTTTAACTAAGAGTAGCCTTTACAGTAATAACAACAAGAGCTAAACTTTATATACAGTACCAGTCATTATAACTAGTGAATTTTGTCTTGTTTGAGCCTTGGCGGGGAAAGGACTGATCAGGCATTAATCCTTAACTGTTTGCCCTTGATCACTCAGCAGTAATTGGGAAACTGGATGTCCATGCTGTTAAACAGTGTACCGACAGGTCAGGCACAAAGAAAGCATTGCCAGCTAGGTGAACACCTAACCCTGACAACTGGATGATGAGGAGAAGTCTTATGAATTTATGGATAAGAATCACTCTTAATGTGACCACAAGTATTCCATTCACCTGGGTGCTAGGAGACAAGAACTATGGACCCCACGTGTGTGACGCCAAACCTTTATCGACCGAGCTGTGGGTGCAAGGCACAAACACATATGAATCAGGGCTGGCACGGCACACACACAAGTATACCAGGAAACTACCTCGCCTCGTCAACTAGAGTCACATTGGTTATAAATATCGGATGCAAGGTGATTTGAAAGGTGTAGACTCGGAGGAGGACTTCAACCCCACATTCCCCTCAGAAGGTCACTCGGGTGTAGCAAAGGAAAAGCTAACCGAGAGCCAGTGAAGCGAACCATGAACCAAAGTTGGAGTGAAATAAAAGAGTCAGGAGCATGTAATGTGGGTAGTGTGAACACAACCATTTTGTGTAAAAGTATAAAAATAAAGCAATGGTCCCACTGAACAAATGTTCCAGCAAACATCCACACCATTTAGCTTTGAGAACTAGTGAAAAGATCCCAAAGAAATGGTTTTTGGTGTCAAGAAAGTCATTTTGGAAAAATCGAATGACTGTTTTCATTTTGGTAGTGGTAAGTTTTGATTACTTTCATTAAGTGAGATCTAAATTTGGTTAAGTGGAGATCTAAATGGAGATGCCATAAATGGTTTTCTGAATTTGATGGCAACACCATACCTCCCTAGTTATATATTAAATAAGTGGGCATGCAAAAGTAAATATGCCTGGTTTAGAAATACAGTACTGTATCATTTTGAGGATTGTGGTCTTAAGTTTGAAAAATAAGCTCTAGGGGGACGGATCTTATCTACTGGGGATGGGGTGAAATCTCTTTACAGATATGTTCATGTAGATTTCCATCATAGGGTAAGTTGAAGTTAAAATTTTGCTCAGTGAACTTTACCTATTGTTTGAGGAAACATTACAGCATCAATGGGCATTATTGCTCTGATCATAAGCCATTGAGCATATTTCTAAACAAAATTCTTTAGTTTATTTTCATTTTGAGTTTGTGTGGTTTTATTTTCACCCAAGTATGGGCCCCGAGTCTCTTTGAAAATAAGTGCTCAGGCCCTTAATGAGGGAAATAAGCTGGAGGAGGTGAAATCTCTCCACAGATTCGTTCTAATGGCAGAAGTCCATCATTTACTAGGTTGAAATTCAGATTGCTCTTGGTAAAATTCACCCACTGATTGTGGGGAAAAAAATACGGTATGAATTTGATTATCCAAATTTTCAGTTATCTGGACATCTGGAGGTATCAGTTGGTTTTGATACTCGAGTTGGTGCTGTATAGTGTTCGTGAGACAGTGTGATGAATGGACAAGTTCCAATGGTATAGCCAGGTTGTTGAATATGGAAGGTATGTGACGTGACATGCATCCTGTGGGTTGTGTGAAACATTGCTTGCATGGGGGGATGGTAAGTTTCCCCATGTTTGAGAGGTACAGCATTGTGGGATTGTCTTGTTCTGGCAGTGTTAATGTTTTCATATACTGCATATAATAACTCTGGCACGCATGCATGCACATGTGCATACTCTCATTCACATGTATACATCAGCATAAATGGTATCAGTTACATGAACACGTTTGTGGATGGTGACAGGTTAATAGGAAGAATGAAAGACCTAGATGACTGTCAAGTCCTTCAATATCACCAAGACAAACATAGCACAGAGTAACAAAAGACCTTGAAAAAATCACCATAGATAAATGCAACTAAATGGAGTGTGAAACAAGTGAAAACAGTACACACAGGGCAAAGAGGGGCGAGGGGCGTAAGTAAGGGCAAAGAGATAGAACATTTGGTTGACAGAGCCCGGGTGCATGGGCGGAATTGTGTAAAACCCCGGTCTGTGCTTCGGAGAAGCTGCAGGAGCCTTATGAGGGCAGTAACACTCCAGGTTGCAATTCTTAACCATGTCGTGGCAAAGTCGACTAAGCCGCATCTGGGATCATCCCAGACGTAGGTTCGAACCCTCATCACGGCCCTTGTGGATTTGTTCGAGTGAAAACAGGTTGCAGGAAACCTGATAATCACGCGGGACAAAATTCTAAGAAACTCGGGCAGACATGTCACAAAATGGTTCCTGGGCCTAAAACACTAGAGCTATGAGGTAAGTCTGTTAGGTGGCAAGCATGCTAAAACTAGTAGAAAGAAGATGTAATTTGATAACCAAGTACTGTACAAAATTGGGACAGGAATGAACACAGGTGATAAGGAAGATTTATTGAATCTCACAACTTGGGAAACAAGAGGCCATAGATTCAATATAAGAAAGCAGAAGTGATTAATAGACTAATGGAATCAATTTAAATGAGGATAATGGATGCAGCTTCAAATATTGCATGATTCATATTATAGGGAAGATAGGCACCATGAGTGAAGCTCTCATTCTCTAACTCCACTTGGGTATTACACACACACATGCACAGTGTTCATTAGCTAACAGATTAGCTAACTTCAAATTAGTTCTTTTGGCATGATTTTGTGATTTACAGTAATGGGCTTTTCAGTATACTATACTTGCATTCAATTTCTCATACTTTGAAAATCTTTCAGCAACTTGTTGATGACTTTCTGAAATGTCATTAGCAAAACATGGTGAAAGATAGATACGTATGAAACAGTGATTCCTTGTGCGATTTACTATTTTCCTATGTCACAGGAGCTGATGTTATGTTGGGAGTGGAGATGGCATCAACGGGAGAAGTGGCATGTTTTGGAGAAAACCGCTATGAAGCTTATCTCAAGTCCATGATTTCAACTGGTTTTGTTATTCCACAACGATCAATCTTGCTGTCAATAGGTAGTTACAAGGTAATATTTGTGTACATTATATATTTTACTTGGTTCATTATTGACAACAGCATTATCTAGTTAATTGTGCACCTCCAAATTTGTATATAGTGGAAGAATTTTTAGATATGTTAACATTAATAATAAAAATGGAGTCAATTTGTGTAGTGCTGGTTAAAATCTAGTGTTCCTAAAAGGTCAAATTTCCACACTGTTCAATGTGTCCTGGATCTGTGTCAGACCCTTTCTTTGTCTAGACTACATTTCATGTGATTTAGAAACCCATTCAGGATGAAATGTCAAAAGTATTTGTGGCCTAGTTGTACTTAAACTGTGACAACAACTATCAGTCTGCTGATTTTGTTGCATGTTCGATACATGTTTTGCTTGATCCACATCATTGTGATATGCGATAGATCTGCCAGATCCTATGTACACTCTCCTTTCTTCAGATTATTCTGAGTTTATTTCTGATAATAGTTTTAAAGCTTCTGTTTGGTATACAGTACAGTATTATGATTACATTGTACATTTTATTTACTCCAAGCTTAGGAATAGCATAGACTTTATCATGTTTTCGAAGACCTATAAACGGGAAGTGTACATGGATTCAGAGCGGGAAGGTCATGCCTTTCGCTGCTACTTGAGCACTATGACAAAATCACAGATGTATTTGAAGAAAAACAGAATGCTGATGAGGTATACATGGACTTTGCAAAAGCATTTAGATGTGACCAGAAAGTTATAGCCCACAAAATGGATATGTATTAAATTTTCTGATAAACCGAACACAAAAAGTAACAGTCAACCAAATAAAATAGTTCATGCACAGTTAAAACCTCTATACCTCGGGGAACAGTCCTTGCACCACTGCTTTTCCTCATTCTCATATCAGATATACACAAAAATACAAGTCACGGCTTTGTGTCATCTTTTGCAGATAACACAAAAATCAGCATAAAAATACTTCTGTAGAAAACAGTGAAAGAACATTGGTGTGTTTGGGGGGTCGCTCTGAACACACCAAAGAAGAGAACACATTGTCAGTGCAAAGGCTGTGCTAGGGAGCTCCCAGGAAAGGAAACCCTGATCACATGCAGCTCCAAGCACACTGAAAACCTGGCTCATGCTAAACTGTAGCGTAAGGAAAAGCCACCAAGGGCAAACACCACACCACTTAGCTTAATAAACATGAAACTGGAGAGAGGCGACCCAGTAACCACTACATCATCACCGAGTTTGGGGACATCGGCTGGCTGTGGCTATCTCCCCCTTTGAAGTAGTGTACCACATCAGATTGTTTGGATGTGTCATAATTGTATGACAGATAGAATACTTAGAAAGCTACAAGCATTTGGAACCAAGAGTGTAACACTTATATGCTGTGTTTACTATTTTAACCTGCAATGTTAAATGTGATTCTTGTACTGTGATTTGTGCATTTGTACTCACTGGATTTGTGCACCCCTTAAGGGACTTGAAGTAGAGGAGAGTAGAAGTAGCCTAAGCTACCCTGTTCCTTTGAGATGTATTTTATGGTCTCAATAAACGTACTTGAACTCAATCTCCCTCTCTCCACTAATGAGTAGGGGAGGTGGAGTAAAGGATAGGGCTAACTCTTCTCTTGAGACAAGTATCATATACTGTATTGTGAACATACATCGTTTTAAATTCTGTTGAATTGTCCAGTTTTAAGATATTTGTCTTTGTATAATTTCAGCACAAGAATGAACTTTTACCAGCTGTTAGAACTCTGGCACAAATGGGATACAAACTCTATGCATCACTTGGCACAGCTGACTTCTATTCTACTCATGGTATTCAGGTAAGATAATTATTGTCATAAATAAATTGCTTTATGTAGTAGTTTCTCAAATGTAAAACCTTAAAGGCATATAAACATATCAACGTGCATGTAAACTTAGTTTATAATATCCAAGCATAGAGATGCACAACTGTTTTGTCTTGAGGCATTCAAACAATTAGCGAGGTGCGTGCATCACATATATTTGATTAAATACATACAACAGGGAACAAACACAACATGGGAATAAATCACACGTATGACTACACAGATCTCCATGATGTGGAGAGCAAACTGAGGCAAATCCTCATAATAGTGAGGTGAATGCCTCACTAGCACCTTCGTCTGCTACTAGCTCTAGCGCCACTTCTGACCATGGTGGAGGGTGATGTTACCCGTCATAAAATAGCACGAAAGCTAAATACTGTAGTACTAAACATACATTCTCTCTCTTTCATACACAACTCTACTTGTAAGCATTGAAAGTAAATAATGAAAATTAGCATTGACTAAAATAAAAGACATTAAATAACAATATCAAGCGCCAAGAGTAATACAAAAATATAAGCCAATTCGTAAACGTATGTTTGGACACTTTTACATGTACACGAATAAAACAAACTGACATTTAAAAATGCAAAGATTAAAATGTATCAAATAAAAGCTAGATATTACGTCCACGGGTTTTGTTGCAGTTTTCTAAGAAGTGTTTGGGGTGATGATTAATATTATACTTGTACTTGAGTGTGTGTGTGTGTGTGTGTGTGTGTAGTCTTTTTTATTTAGTAAGTTCAATATTTAAATTAGGGTGCTGCATGCTGTCTGTGAGTAGTCCATTATCATTCTAATTACTGATTTATATAGAGTAATTTTTAGGTGTGTATTCCCAGGTGCAGATACCATGTGCAAGATATGGATATGAGTGAATAATATAGTATTATCAAGGCAGAGTGAGGTATCAGATTTTGGAGTATGCACTTTCGGTTTTAGATCCTTTATTTTTTGTTTATATATTCTATATGGTAATTTAAATTCACTTTATTGTCAATGTGAACACCAAGGAATTATCCTTCTGTCTCAGTTTGGGTATTGTTTATTCGGAATTCAATTTGATTGTTCGATCTATTTCTATTTGATTTTTCTATGTTAAGGGCGAGTTTGTTAGTAGTCAGCCAATATGGACTTTGAGTTCAGTATTCACTGTCTTAGAATAAGTGGGTTAGCATTTTGAGAAAATGAAGGTTGTCATTAACAAATGGTTTTGGCATTAGGTATTGTGTGGCATTTGGTAGATCATTTATATAGTGTATATGAGAAAGTGGAGTGGATCAAGTATGCTAACTACCCAATGGAATACACAGAGTAATCACACTGTCATGTTGCATCAATGAACAAATCCGTAGGAGCCATGATGAGGGTTCGAACCAATGGCTGGGAACACCCAGCACATAGGTTCGAGCCAATGCCTGGGAACACCCAGCACATAGGTTCGAACCAATGGCTGAGAACACCCAGCACATAGGTTCGAGCCAATGGCTGGGAACACCCAGCACATAGGTTCGAACGATCATCATGCCTCCTACAGCTTTACCCTATGAAATGCCAATATTAATTGGCAGTGTGGGGAGAAATAGCATCATTATCATGAATATACTGGTACTTGTCACTGAGATAAAATTGAATGTATTGTACGAAGTAACCCCCTAAATCCATATTGATGCAATACAATGAGGTCATGGTGGTTAAGTGTCAAAGGTCTGATGAACGTCAACATATAGGCCTGTTGGATATGTTGGTTGGCTATGTTTCATGTTTGTCAAGAACTGTATGTATCAAGTCAAGCACATTGGCAAGAGCTAAGTACTGCTGTATATTATATTGAGCTCAATCAGCATGTTCTGAAGATCAGAATACGTAATTTAGCAATTCCATAACTTTACTGTCCAGAGTTGATAATTAAAATTTCCGCAGTCTCCGTGGTGTAGTGGTAAGACACTCGCCTGGCGTTCTGCGAGCGCTATGTCATGGGTTCGTATCCTGGCCGGGGAGGATTTACTGGGCGCAATTCCTTAACTGTAGCCTCTGTTTAACACAACAGTAAAATGTGTACTGTACTTGGATGAAAAAACGATTCTTCGCGGCAGGGGATCGTATTCCAGGGACCTGCCCGAAACGCTATGCGTACTAGTGGCTGTACAAGAATGTAACAACTCTTGTATATATCTCAAAAAAAAAAAAAAAAAAATGAGTCTTCATGTCATCATCTTGTATTAACTTTAGTGGACAAAATATGCCAAGGTGAAATTAACTAATTAGTGTAGTTTGTGTTTGTAACCTAAACTTTTGTAAACAGAAAATGAAATGATTAAGAAAGTAGGGAAATGGAATAATTTAAAATATAATCATTTGTAAATAAAGTAAACAATCTTTAGTTTACCAAATTAAAAATTTATCCGAATCTTTGTGAAGACATTTGCTAAGATTCATATTAGTCTATATAGTATTATATAGATAAGTCTACAATCATTAGTCTATATTAGTCTATATAGTATTATATAGATAAGTCTACAATCATTAGTCTATATTAGTCTATATAGTATTATATACTATATTAGTCTATATAGTATCTGAGGAAATTAAGACATTGCTTATGAATGTATATAAATTTTACTGAGTACCTTTAAAAGATATAATTTAAATATATATGTACATTATAATATTTACGCTTATAATTATATGTATAAATAATATATATTAACATGGTTAAATCCTGGCTTATTTGTAAGTCTAAGTCCACGCATACACACATAAATTAATAAAGAAATCATGTATACAATAAAATAAATACATTCTGATCTTAAGAACAGGTAGATTGGGCTTTACTGCCCTCTATCTATCTTGAGATGATTTCGGGGCTTAGCGTCCCCACGGCCCGGTCCTCGACCAGGTCTCCTTTTTATTACACATCCCCAGGAAGCAGCCTGTAGCAGCTGTCTAACTCCCAGGTACTTATTTACTGCTAAGTGAACAGGGGGCTCAGGATGAAAGAAACTTTGCACATTTGTTTCTGCCTCCACCGGGGATCGAAACCAGAACCTTAGGACTACGAATCCCAAGCGCTGTCCACTCAGATGTCAGGCCACCTAAATGGCAAAATTTAATATGCTTTTTCTCCATTGTTTATTCTCAAATTCTTATTACAAATTTAGTATATTTTCAAAGTTGTACATAATGAACACCATCTTTGATACATAGATACAACTTGTTAAGAGTGTAAAAACTAAATAAATAAAGTGAGGAAACATTGGAAATAGACAGTTATTCCCAATGCGGCAACTTCCCTCATTTTTACAAAAAAAAAAAAAATCTCCAGACCACTACAGCTAAATTACAAGAGTTAGAGACTTTTTACTTATTGTTTCCTACTTCCTGGGTGCTAATTAACAATACCACAAGGAAAAAATACTGTTTTCGGAACAATTTATTTATGGCACACCACGGGAATGTCTTTTTAAAAGGTGCACAGTGCAGGGGTTAAAATACTTGCTAGTAGTCATCTCTGATTTAACAAATATAATAATTACGTTTACTATTGACAATGTACTTTTATCTTTATTCAGCCTTGATTAATGTAATGATGTACATGCAATTGATACATAGTTTTATCGATTCCAATGTTTTGAAAGTTACTTAGTTTGGTATATAGTGTGACTGTCATTATCTGGAGTAACTGCTCAGACCACCAAAAAATCAGGTTAAGCCCTATTAACCGAACATCCTCTGGCCAATCAGGTTGGAGAGCCACTAATTTCTATAGTTGGATAACCTGAGAATCCAGAAAATGGGGAGCTAGATAATGGCACTTCAACAATATTACTTTTGGTATGACAAGATGTAGTGATGCTGGTGCATGATGAGCCTAGAAGTCTGTAGACTCGTCATCACCATCATCATCATCATCATCATCGTCTGAGAAAACAATGATTTCACCATTTTTCTTTATAGTGGAGGAATCCTCAGATTCAGTGTGATCTTTTCCAATTGGTTGGATAATAATGGCATCATCATTATCATGTTTAGTAGGCAGAGTTCTGTTAACCATTGATGTATCATCTTCAAATTTTGTATTAAATTGCTGTGCTTTCAATTTTGCTAGTGGTATTAAGCGGTCCACACCTAAGATTGGTAGCTCATTGGATGGTGGATGAGGTAGAGGTTGTTCTTTCTGGGCTTCCCATTTTGGACCATGGAGCTCCCAATTTGAGCCTTGGAAACTAGGATTACATGGAAGATCACTTGCGCTTGTATTTATCCTTGACGAACTCAGCATATCTTGTACACCACCTCGAGAAGCAACATTTAGCTCTTCAATTTGTCTACGGTAACCATTTGCATCTTCACTGTTTCCAGTTTCTTCTAGTAATGTTGCCATGTTACCAGATAACAGAAGGTACATGTATGCTTGAGGATATGCACGATATATGTTTGAAGCACGTGCCATAGCCAAGAAATGTTCGGCAAATGTGGAAAGGAGTTTGCCAGCACGGAGATCCTTTACACTCTTGACCTTCTTATCAAGTCTTATTGTTGAATGTCGTCTTTTAGATCCTTCTGGTGAAGTCTTTGTAACAGCTTTCTTGCGCTCTCTCCGTAGTGCGTGTAATTTCTCCTGGAAAAATCATTATTAATTTTATTATTATGCATTAAAAGGTTGAATTAACTTGTATAGTTAGGATACATGACCAACTTGAAATGTTAAAAGATATTGCCGAGTATAAATGGCTAGAAGACAGGGTAATAGAGATATAGATGTCACTCCCCCATAGGCACTGACAGGTAAATATCTATCATACACATGTTCCTTCATATTCTTAAATTAACACTCATATTCCCTAACATAATTCCTCCTTCTGATATATATATATAAAGTTATCCCATCTTCTTTACCCACATAATTTTCATCCATTCCTGATGAACAACTAACCCCCCCCCCCCCTCCCTCAAAACATCACAATGTTTGAATTTTTCACCATTCTCCCATTTACTCTTCCCATTATTATGTATCTCGTTCACACCAAACACATCTATCTCATCACTTATAAAATTTACTTTCATTTCTTCTTTCCTGCCCTCCTCATTTGTTTCTTTTACATTGAATGAACACTGCCTTTGATTTTGAACATTTAAAGTTTTTTGTTGTTGCAGCCGTCTCTTGATATACAGTACTGTACCTTCATTTTACGGTGTTCCTCCTCTTCTTCAGAGTCAGTAAAGAGGACATCCTCTCCATCGTCAAAAATATTCTAGAAGATAGAAGAAATTGACTTCAAATAATGTTGTGTTAGCTGAAAGTATTGTAACCATTATTTCCAATATTTACACTTTAGAAATTCTTAAAACGTGTTTTGCACTTGCTCTGAAATGTACAAGCATAAACACATAGTCCCTGACCACCACACACAGTTCTGTATGATATCCAAAACCCCCCTGACAATTTTGCAGTCCCCTGTGACGCAGTGGTAAGACACTCGCCCGGCGCTTTGGCCTGGGTTCGTATCCTGGCTGGGGAAGATTGATTGGGTGCCAATCCTTAAATGCAGCCTCTGTTCACCGAACAGTGAATGGGTACCTGGTTGTTAAATGGTTTGGCAGGTCATATTCCGGGGAAAAATTAGGATTAAGGATCTGCCCGAAACACTATGCATGCTAGTGGCTTTACAAGAATATAAGTACTCTTGTATATATAAAAAATAAATAAATACAAATTAAAAACAATAAGGAATAAGAGGGGACATTAGCTTACTCAATATGAGTTTACCCGTCATTGCTAACAGTGAACATTACTCTAGTCAAATGACTTACTTGTTCCTGCGTATCATCCCCTCCCACTAGTTGTAATAGTTGTGGATTTAGCTGTTCTAAGCCATAAGTTGTTTTTGTGACAAGCTTGTAAAGCTCAAGAATGTCGAGCTTTGGGTAGAAATCCTCTTCTGTTCGCATGCGCCACATGGTGTGCATCAAGTAAATTGGTAGGTTGTCCTTCATATTCCTCACTCGTGCCTGAAGTGACCATTTTAATGGTGTTAATATTCATCAGGGACAAAGGAAGAAAAGGTGTTATTCATATATTGTATCAGATATTTTTACTTTAGTCAAATGAACAAGTGATGCATTTCTAACTTGTATCTGTCGCATGTAACGTTCTGGTATGGTCTCCATCATGTTGCACTTGTCAATGAAGTAATGCGGCAGATTTTCAGTGGAGAGACAGTTATAGAGGGTTTTTAAATATGCTTTTAACTTGTTTCCCAACTTCTCTTCTTGCCAGTCTTTGAAGTTGTGTTCACACATCCAGAAGAGAATGTAACGTAGATGTTGTATTTTGAGACCTTGAATGTCACCAAGGTGATCCCTCATTAAGTATTCTACCAGTATCAGTAGTCGTATCTGTCAAGTTGGATAAAAGTTTATGATGCAACCTGGTTACAGTCTTAATATGTTTTTACTCAAAAGTATATTTAATTCACTTGCATTTTTTTAGGTAATCGCTCGAGAGGAAATGGTATTGAGATTAGTGTATGATAGGGCTAAATGGAATATTGGTATATAATTTGATGTATGCATATAATGCAGCTTTACAAGAAAATGATAATGAACATTATATGGAGATTAGTTGAAAGTTTTGTTGAAATACAGTATGTGAAAGAAGACTACTAAAAGTGAATATGGTCAAATGTAAAGTAAGGCACAGCACTGCAGTGGTGGAGAAAGAGGATAACTAGAGGAATGAAATGGTGTGCAACTGACCACTTCTAGGAGACGTCCTATAAGTGGTCAATCCCACAAGTAGCCCAGGCTTTGTCCTGGGGTTCGTATCCTGGCCGGGGAGGATTTACTTGGCGTCAATCCTTAACTGTAGCCTCTGTTTGCCCAACAGTAAAATGGGTACCTGGTTGTTAAACGATTTGACCGGGTCGTATTCTGGGAAACATCAGATTAAGGACTTGCCCGAAATGCTATGTGTGCTAGTGGCTGTACAAGAATGTAAAATTTTTTTTTTTTTTAATATTCAATATACAAAAGTTAAAATATCTTGATTATGATAGACAAAAGAGGAATTTGTACAAAAGTTGAGAGCAGAGCGAGTCAGGAAAATGGCTGGCGCAATGAAAGCCTTGGTAGGAAAAATATGATTGAAAGAAATGTAGGTAGAGATCTGCACGAAGGAGATGTGTAGATAGGGCATAGGGAGCCGGCTGGCCGAGCGGACAGCACGCTGGACTTGTGATCCTGTGGTCCCGGGTTCGATCCCGGGCGCCGGCGAGAAACAATGGGCAGAGTTTCTTTCACCCTATGCCCCTGTTACCTAGCAGTAAAATAGGTACCTGGGTGTTAGTCAGCTGTCACAGGCTGCTTCCTGGGGGTGGAGGTCTGGTCGAGGACCGGGCCGTGGGGACACTAAAGCCCCGAAATCATCTCAAGATAACCTCAAGATAGACCTGCACATCTCCTGCCTATTCCTGTGTAAGGATATGAGATGCTGGTGCAGCTGGAGTATGAATAATCAAGAGTTTGAGCAGTAGAGATGTATAATCAGAGACACTTTGTTTTTGTAGCGTAAAGAGAATATATAGAGGTAGGAAATAAAATGTCTATAGAAATATGTAATATGTAAACATAAATATTTAGAGGATGAGTACTTACTGAGATACAGGGGTTCCCCTGTATATAAAAATCTGATGTTACAAAGAGCCTCAAAATCCTCATTTTAGCCCAATATCTCACTATGCAAAGTAATCCTGAAGTTCATTTTGTCCATTGTTCAGAGGGGTCTGCTATAGGGAGGCCTGGATTTGGGAGGTGCTGATGTATTAGTCGTCTCATCTATAACTCTTATTTTCATTTCCCTTTCCATACACCCAATTGTATCTAACACTGCTCTGAAGTATTTAAAACTTTTTTTACCACTCCCAATATCTCTGCACCATTTGTTATCTTGAAATTCAATTTACTCTTGCTGCTCAGTAAAGATCTAGATTATTTATATTACACGTTTCTCATATCCTCCTCTAAAACACTATACTGAACTGTAATATTCATTTTTTCCACCTTCGGAGTACTGGGGAAGGTGTCAGCTTGGACACGAGTTATAGGGAGGAAGGCAATGCTATCTTAGAGGGGGAATTACAGGGAGGAAGATACAGTAGTGCCATCTTGGAAGGGAGTTATGGGGAGAAAGGTAGTGCCATCTTGGAAGGGAGTTATGGGGAAGAAGGTAGTGCAATCTTGGAGGTGGAGAAAAGAGGTGCCACTTTGGAGAAGAATTATGGTGAAGGTAGTTATCAGTTTGAAGGGAAATTTGGAAATAATATTTGAGGTGCTGGTTATAATTAATTACTCACCTGTGTGTGTCCAAGGCTCCGGAGAAGTATTTGTTCGACTTTAGCAAACTGTACCTGCCACTCAATCTTCATGACCTTACTGGGGCCCTTTGGGTTGTAGTGACCAAGTGGCACAAGGTTGCAGCCCATTTGAGTAGCCTCCATGATGTGTTGTTCTTTAGGCCACCTGTAGAAATAGAATAGTATTTTAAAAAGTGATGTTGATAAGGTTCACACAATGATTGTTGGTAAAAATGTAAGTCTGTATAGTTTAAATTTTTTGAATAATTAGTTTTAATTCAGAGGCTGCCTTCAATTCATACCAGGGAGGAGGACAAGAAAAAAAAGCCTTCACAGGAAGTACAAATCCTGAAGCCTATGAACTAGGCCATGAGGAGGAACGAAGAGCAAACATCAGACTCTCTTTAGACGTCCCCAAACCCCAAGACCTTCTTTTATCACAGAAGAGGAAGGGCCAGGGCTGGAGAGTAAATTTTACCCATAGTATCCATGTACTGGGAGGAAGGAATTGGATGATAGCCAAGGTCTTCACCCCCCCCCCCCCCCCGATGAAGCAGAGCCCTTAAAAACATTTCACTTGCTCATGGGCCTGGTTGATACCTGGTTACCTGGTTGATGGGGTTCTGGGAGTTCTTCTACTCCCCAAGCCCGGCCCGAGGCCAGGCTTGACTTGTGAGAGTCAACTACACCATGTTGTAACATGGTGTAACAATTACACCATGTTGATAACAACCATGGCCTACACAGCAAGGCTGTTCTGGAGCCCAAACAATGGAAAAGGCTGGGAGTCTAAAGAGTGAACAGAAGACGTATGACAAGGCCAGTCAGTGACCAGAACAGGAGCATCAGAGAAGGTGGTCTGTCTTATAGCACAAACTCCTTTCCATAGATAAGTAGGGAGAAACACAATTGTCATGTTGATGGCAGCTAGGGGCTGAAAACACTTGAACTGCAAGTAGAAAAATCCAACTATGAAATGGGTGGGGAAATTCATTGAGACTCGACCAGTAGAGATGACCAAGAACAAACAAATAGACTGACATAACATGTACGAGGGGGCCCATGGTTAAGAACCACTAATAGCATGCCATTTGTGGTAATTCAATAGTACAAAATGTGAATTTATTTGTTTACAAAAGTCTAATTTTATAAGCCAGACAAATATTTCTAAACATTCATAAAATCGGTGATCTTCCAATGACTTGCTAGACAGATTACTATGGGCCCCATACCACTAAATCTTTAAATTATGAACCACAAAATATATGGTGCATATGAATGAATCAAATCTTCCAAAAATGATAGTCCTTATGGCTACTATTGGCCCAACATACAAAGAGTTATATCAGTAAAATTAAATACATTAGGTCATCTCTCTTTCCTGGGTAATAAATGAACATACCATATTGACTTGTCCAGTTCCAAGAGTAATTTATTTCTAGCTCTAGGGTACTAATTTGGTGAACCTTGCATAATCATTTTAAAGACTAGAATGATACTAACTTGTATACCATTTTTGTTTCTGGATCAGCGCGTGGGCGTCTTTCCCGCATCTTCCATTCAAATGCACAAGCTGGCCACTCTTTCAGGATCATAGTAGGGATAAATTCAGTGTTGAATTTTGGACCAATCTGTTAAAGATATAAACATAGTCAGAACCTATACTGTATATATTTTTATGTATGGTATATATGTACAGTATATATAAATTATTGTGTAAATAATGAATAACTAATATTGCATTATGATAGTTTGGATAATGGGGAAGTAGTCTGGTCTGAGTAAAGTTTGGTCATTATATATGCTCAACATGCTGGCCTGGTCGAGGACTGGGCCACGGGGACGTTGAGCCCTGAAATCATCGCAAGGTAACATCCTAATTTTATTTATCTAATCAATATACTACGTACATACCTGTTCAATCATTAGCTCATTTGCAATAACAGCAGGAGTCTGCATCTGACAAGTTTCAACCAAATGTTCTTTGCCTAAAATTTTTGCAAGATTTTCAAATTCATCCTCAAAGCACTCGAGATAACGTTCTGATGAAAAATATGTTCTTCTTTCACTGTTGCTTGCAATTCCATAAACATCATTCTGGTCTTTTATCTTTATTCTTCTAGTCAAGAAACAGTCTTCATTCAAACTTGCTTCAAGACAAACTTCTTTTGACTTTTCATTTGCCTTATTTTTTTCATAATTGGTTTCATTTAGTGTGTCATTATGAAACACAGTATTGTTGTTTTCCTTTTCTCTCTCTTCTTCTTCTTCTTCTTGATCCTCATCTTCGCTCCCCTCTTCTACTCGAGCAAGTTTCCTCATGACTTCTTCAAGTCCCTCACTAGTGTTAATAACTTGTCTTTGTTTGGAAGAAAGTTTTAAACGGTCCATTTCTGGACCCACCTTTGGGAAGACACCACTTGGTCGTCTCTCGGTTAAATTCCTTGGTTTGTTGGGCAAATATTGTCTTGTTCTTGACCCTGGATATCCATTTTGAAGCTGTTCCTCTGATCCATATTTTATTTTTTGTATTTTATCCTTAAGCTTGCCAGTAGGATAGTGCTCCGGTAGAACTCCACTTGGTCTCCGAGCTGACATTCCTTGTAGAGGTGGACTTGCTGGCTCCTCATTAGCATCATCTTCAGATTCTGAGGAAACGGATCCCTTGTTATATAGTAACTCTAATCTCTTCAACATTAAGTCTCTATCATCATCAGTGGAAATAGGTGCAGAATTTCGACGCAGAGGTCTCAGGTCCACTATTGGGTCTGGCAGGGATTCATCAGTGGGTTTCATGTAACCATAGATATCTTCGTATGTGTTGTGTCGTGACATGCCAGGGATGATATCAGCACACCGAAGTCTCACATAACCTGAAACATGAGTATTAATTAACACTTTATAGAAATTGTTGAGATTACTGTATTACACTACTTAAATACTAATGAATCGTAATGCTGTCGAATCTTTTTTGGTAACATTTATTAGGTTAATTTAGTGAAAGGTTAACTTATTCCAGGACTTAAGAGTTTGCAATAACGGGATGTAGTCACATTATTTTAAATGCCTCCTATCTTCTTAATCATGGTTAATAAATATATAAGTACAGTATTTTTAAATTTTAACATTGCCATCACTCCATAAATATATATCCTAGGTGCAAAATACTTTAGGTACATCCCTGATTTACCATAAATAGTTATGGGGCAAAACAGTAGCAATTATAAATGATTCTGTGTTGTCATTACTATCTTTCTCTAATTTATTTAGAAAATGTTCATTTTATTGTGGGCTTTGATTGTTGTGACAACTTAGCATTTTATGCATTGGAGTGGGCTTTGTAGAATTACCAGTTGTGATAGAGCATACCAGAGTATAGACTTGCCTTTGTGTCTCTGAGAGTCCTCGGTACAAAATCTATAGGCCGGACCATCAACATCTGCATAGTTCCTCTTTTGTAGTTCCTCGTACTGATCATCTGGATACACCTCCACGTTGTCCTGCACCACGTAGATCTGGAAAAGAATGATTATATTTGTTTTATTCTGGCATGCAAAATTATTGTATGTCATTTAACAGTATCATTAGAGTCCATGATGATAGAAAAGATCATCAGGGCAAATGGGGGGGGGGGGACGTTTGACAAGCTGCCGACTTCCTATCCTTGTCGAGGCCACTAGTGTTAGTGCCCCTCAGGTAAATATAATAATTATTTCAAGTTGTGTTTATCTTAGTTTGAAAGTACTGTATCCCTGTTGTACTGTCAGCATTTCGGTGTTTGTTCTCAAGACGGTTTTATCTCTACCATTGTTGCATTTTAGTCTGCTCTTGATAATTTGTTCTCTACTAGCATGCATGGTCTTCAAAAACATAAATTTGGCATTCAGAACGCTAATGCAAGTACTGTACCAGCCATGCTGTATGTGCATCACTTGGTATATTCTGCTATGTTTTGGAAATACAGTATATTTATTTATTTATTTATATATATACAAGAAGGTACATTAGGATTGTGAAGATACATAGCATAGTAATTACATTCTTGTAAAGCCACTGGTACGCGCAGCGTTTCAGGCAGGTCCTGAATCTAAGAAACTTATAAGTACTGTAGGTAAACACCTGCAAAATTTATAAAAATGATAAGTTACATAGCATGAAAAAAATAAAAGATGATAGAAAAATTGTAGGTATATTAAAGCACATAGGTAGCTCAGAATGATTGCAATGACAGCTTGAATGGTAGTTTAACACTATGTTTAGTGACATGGTCAACTTTTCTGAGCAAGGCACTCCTCAGTTGCTCCCAGAGCCTGTGAATATATACATGGTAATCAATCATTTGCTGTTGTCTGTTACTTCAATACACTTAACGAAGTAAGGGTGAAGAGGTAGAACAGCTTGTTGACAGAGCCCAGGTGCATGGGGGAATTGTGTAAAACCCTGGTTTGTGTCTCAGAGAGGCTACAGGATCCATGTGAGGCAGTAGCACTCCCGGTTGCAGAAGTAATTTTAACTAAATAAACTTAAAACTACATTTTTCTTAAAGTTTATACATGCGGATATCAGCAGTTATACAAGTTGTTTAATAATCAATTGAAAGTTGAAATTGTAAGAAATCAATAATGCACTTGGAAAGTGGAAGATACTGCTGTTTTGGTTTGCACTGAGCCTTCTGTGGCTCACCACTTTGATAAGGCAGTGGAGGTGGCCGGTGCATCTGGTTTGTAGATTCCTGGTCCCACGATTTTTTCTTTTCGGGGGTGGGGGGGGGGACATGTCAAGGGCATTTTGTGCAGTTTCAGTCCCTCCACCCCCTCCCCCTCCTTTCATGAATCAGGGATTTCTTGGTAGTCTTGTTCCCCTTTGTTCCTTTTTTCCTGGTGAAGAATGAGACGGCAGGCTTTCGGAGGGATCCTCTGGGTGTGGAAGCTTGGGTTGGCATGTTTCTCAGCAAAAATTCATTTATACAGTACAGTAGTTGAAATTTCTTGATTTCAGACACCTAATCTATTGAATATAACATGAAATAGATCGGAATCCCTTCATTTTGTACGTCCTGCTGTTGACTGGGAATCTACTGCACTGTCCCTTTTATTCTACTTCCTTTTTCACATAGTGACTTAATGTATGGGTCTTTTTTTTATACACAATAAAATTTTGAACTGAAGATTCCATTCACCTGGGCTCTAGGAGACTCGAAACATGGACCCCACGCGTGTGAGGCCGAAGCTTTAACGACCGAGCTACCTTGAGGTTACCTTGAGGTGCTTCCGGGGCTTAGCGTCCCCGTGGCCCGGTCGTCGACCAGGCCTCCTGGTTGCCGGACTGATCAACCAGGCTGTTGGACGCGGCTGCTCGCAGCCTGACATATGAGTCATAGCCTGGTTGATCAGGTATCCTTTGGATACCTATTGCTATTGAGCTATTGAGTAGTCTTAATAAGGAAAGTTTCCAGAAGCAGCATCCTGCTGCTAAACTTGATTTTTCGACTTTCCCTGGCTACCATTGAAGCTCAGCGGAATTAGTGATCCACACCCACGTCATCAACTCAGTCGATAGAGTTTTGGCCTCGCATGTACTCACCTAATTGTGCTTGTGGGGGTTGAGCTTTGGCTCTTTGGTCCCTCCTCTCAACTGTCAATCAACTGGTGTACAGATTCCTGAGCCTACTGGGCTCTATCATATCTACATTTGAAACTGTGTATGGAGTCAGCCTCCACCACATCACTGCCTAATGCATTCCATTTATTAACTACTCTGACACTGAAAAAAATCTTTCTAACGTCTCTTTGGCTCATCTGGGTACTAAGTTTCCACCTTATGTGTGGGGGGTTAAAGTGGACCTACCTCACAGCAGGTCCACAGTTTGAATCTCCTAGAGCCCAGGCGAATGGAATTTTTAACTAAAGCTTTAAATATACTGCAGGCAAAATTGTTGAAATTTCAACTTGAATACATTTTTCTGGATTTACTGTATATAAAGTGAGTGAGTGGTACTGTACCTGCAGAGGGGTGGGGAGCTCCATGTATAGTTCATTGGTGGGTTGGAAGAGAACATGAGTACCAGAGATCTCTTCAAACCCTCCAAGATAGATGATCTTTCTCTTGGACGGTAACAGCTTGCGGTCGAGGGCTAGTTCCCGGTCACGTATGTGATTGCTTATGTCTGCTTTCTCTCTGTCATTTGTAGAAAGTATTAGTGGAAAAAATGTGTAGGTGTTACCTCATTTATTTTATCTACTTCATATTAGTGACATTACATTCATATGTACAGTAATTAATTATTAAATAAACAAACAATATTATAATTTAATCACTATGAGCTTATATAAGATACAGTATTTATATTATTTTTTGCCAAGTTAAATTTGACAATGTTGTTAAATACATACTTGCTAAAGTTTTTGTAGAACTGTAATGACACAACAAGCAGGTTTAGAAGAAAGTTGTCGGGTCGGTTTTGGAAATCTTCGCGCATCTTTTCCATAACCAGTAAGTTGAGTTCATTCTGCCTTTTCTCCCACTGTACTACCAATGAATTTGTCTCACCTTCTTCCATCACCTCTCCAACAATTTCCTGTAGAAACCGTCATGATTTGCATAATTCCTTAGTTCCTCTTCATTTTGGCATCCTCATATATATCAGCTCTCTGCCATAATATACCTGTCAGTCGCCTCTCAAATATTTGATCAACATGCTTGAGGCAATAGTCTTTTGCTTAAATTATGTTATAACATTTAGTAAATCACACACAGAAATTACAATAATGCGATATATCAAATGAACAAATAAACATCCCACATCGAGCGCATAGGTTGAAACTCTCATTAAGGCCCTTGTGGATTTGTTCATTTAGTAAATTTATGTGCTGTCTGCTATTTTCAGAATCCCGTTTACTTATTTGACATCTTTGATTATTTTCAATCAGAAACTCTTCTGTCATCATCTCCAAATAAAAAGTGTGGTAGCTCTCAGGAGTTTGAAGATGAAAAATTGCCACACTTCATTTAAGTCGTATTTAGTGATGCAAAAGACAGTCTCGGCAAGGTTCCTTGAAGAAATATTCAGTACAGATAATTATTGCCTGCAGCAGACAGCTGTCAAAAAATTAAGGTGCTATTCTGCTCCTGAATCACAGTACTGTACTGTACTATACTTTGAAGCAAGGCCAATCAAACTATAGATTAGGAATTGGAGATGGTGGGAATGAGATGAAAGTTTCCATTCCATCAATAACAATTACAGTAACTTGTTCATAACATATGGATGCTTTACATAGAGGCACAATAGTCACTCCGTGGAAAATCAAGGAAATTCTGAATCTTCGTTTACACCAAAGCAAAGGTGGCAAGTTGGTGGGTAGGTAGGTTTAGAGACTTGGAGGAATGGTAGTCCTAAGGAACAAGATACAAAGATGGGGCTATGATTAGAGGATCCTAAAGAAACAGCTGCAATATAATATAGAGAATGATCAGTAGAATGTCTACCAAATAAATGACTTAAGTTACTGCTAAACATATCTAAAATCTTCTGTTAGTCTTTTACCTATTGATGAGATTGTAGCTGCCTTAGTGATTATAGCTGCATTTTCCTCTGACAAAGCCAACAATCCAAAGTAGCTATGTCCTTCTGAAGATGAGGTCTCCATGTTTGGTTACAATAATCCAAGTGGGAACACACCAGAGATTTATACAGTTGAATCTCCGCACTCCGCAGTACAATTGCAGTCTCCGTGGTGTAGTGGTAAGACACTCGCCTGGCGTTCCGCGAGCGCTATGTCATGGGTTCGTATCCTGGCCGGGGAGGATTTACTGGGCGCAATTCCTTAACTGTAGCCTCTGTTTAACGCAACAGTAAAATGTGTACTTGGATGAAAAAACGATTCTTCGCGGCAGGGGATCGTATTCCAGGGACCTGCCCGAAACGCTACGCGTACTAGTGGCTATACAAGAATGTAACAACTCTTGTATATATCTCAAAAAAAAAAAAAAAAAAAAAAAAATCGCTACCTTTTTTTCTTTAAAGTCACAGGTATGCTTGATTATTCCTAGAGTTTGGTTGGTTTCCTTTTTACTGCTGCTCCCATCTGTTGTGCAACTTTCAGTGAATAGTGGATTTTGACTCCAAGGTCCTTTTCTTCATCAATGGTAAGGTTAGGTAATGGTAATAATTTGGTAGTTGTGGCATGGGTTGTTATGCCCTCACATGCAAAGTCTTGCATTTTTGTTATATTAAAAAGCATTTGGCAGTCTTCTGACCATTTGTGGAGTTCATGTGGATCTCTTTGTAAGGCTTCAATATCATTTTCATTTCCCACTTTACCATAGATCTTAGTGTCGTCTACAAATTTGATGTGGTTTGTAATACCTGTATTCTCATCTATGTCATTGATGTATATGATAAAAAAAGGGTTGGCCCCAAAATGGGCCCCTGTGGCACCCGACTTAGCACATTTCTCCTAGTCTGATTCATTCCCAGTTAGCACAACTGCTTTCTTTGTTTTAACCATTGTTTTATCCATTCTAGTATTCTACCATTTATTCTATGTGCCTGTAATTTCCTTGGTAGTCCTTATGTGGCAGCTTATCAAAAGCTTTAGCAAAATCCATGTATACTACATTCACTGGAAGTCCTTGTCTGAGTAGCTGGTTACTGTTTCAAAAAATGTGAGCAGGTTTGTAAGGCAGGATCTATTTTTAGCAAACCATGTTGCATTGATTTTAAAAGTGTTTACTGTGAGATGGTGAATAATTCCTTCCCTTAGGATTCTCTTCATGAGCTTGCAGGTGTGTGTGATGTCAAGCTGATCGGACAGTAGTTTTCTGCTGAGCTTTTTCTGCCTCTGTTGAAAATAGGGGTAACATTTGCATATTTCCAGTCTAGAGGAACTATTCCTTGGTACAGAGATTTTCTGAAAAAACACTTTCAGCAGTAGGCATAGTTCCTCTGCTAGTTCCTGTGGAACTAGCTAGTTCCTCTGCTAGTTCCTTTGGAACTTGCAGAGGAACTTTGGATTGACATATCTATCAGTTACTTATTGCTGATCACTAGTAGCTGATCACTGCATACTAATTGGTTAAGGGAAGTGTGCAGACATAGCAATATTTGTTAATGCCACTGATGTAGCCATTAACAAGTCTCTTAGTCTCTTATACAAATTTTCTTCTTGTCATGGAAATATTATCTAGTTCGACTTAAACAAAAGAAAGATGACCATTCTGATTATGTTCTCTCTCTATTCCCTTTACATAAAAAAGTGTTTGAATTCATCTTTAACAGATAGTTTCTTGAGCATTTAAGTCTGCTAAAATCTTTTTCAATCACCAGTACAGTTTTTGTACGGCCTATTGCCCTGGTGATTTTATCTTATCTCAATTATATATAGTCCATCACATTTTGCGATTAAAATTAAACGTTCCTTCTATTCCATAAATTTCTAGCTTCCCAAACCCATTCTCTTCTAATCTCCATTCACTCTGAGACTTGCAGTTGTCATTTTTAATTAAAAAAGAACACTGCTTTTACCAATTACATTTAAGCAAACCATGGCTGATTATCAGTTCTATCTCAAAAACATGTATCTCAAACCTCAATCCTCACTCAATATCTAAAGTAATTTATAATGCTCTTTGTTTGATAAATCCACCTTACTTTGCATCGAAGCTTTGTTATTGGCCACTGCCACAACGTTTTCTTATTTCTTCTCTGTGGCTCTTGCTCTGGAGAAGTATCGTGCACCGTTTTCTGGATGGTCACGTAATACAGTACAGTACTGTGTTCATGCAGCAGCAGCCTCACACTTACTGTCTTTTGTACTGTGTTCATGCCGCAGCAGCCTCACAGTTACTGTCTTTTGTACTGTGTTCATACAGCAGCAGCCTCACAATTAGTCTTTTGCCAGTTAGGATTTGAATGTTGTTTCATCTTTGTTTTCTGTTTAAACTAACATGTAGGAAGACTTCCACTATGTTTTCCATGATAACTGTGACGTCAAAATTATTTTGGAACTGTCTGTAGAGTTTTATTTATAATTTGCTGATATTTTTAATTCAACATATGAATGGGCAACTTTTTCATTGGAAATTATCTGTTTTGTAAACAAATTGCATGATAATGAATGGAAACTTACCTTGATGTGAATGACATTACTGCTGTCGATAGAGGAATGACGTTCACCCTTACGGCAGCCGTTCCCCATTCTTAGTATATTTTTCCTGGCAGATGACGGTTGAAGCCCCTATACCTGCAAGGACACAGAGTTAACCATCAGTGATGGTCTTTGTAATTCTACCATAGTGAGGACATTTTTATCTTGGATAGTAAATGGTGAATTTTGGGTTTGCAATTAGCATTCCTAATGTATTGGTACTCTAATTAAATCTGTAATTATCTCCATCCTACATCCTGTTCTAACCTTCCTCCTCCTGTTTTCCTTCCTTGAGATGTACATCTTTGGCATACTCACCAATGTTCTTATTTTCTTCGATCGAGAGTGGAGATGTATCAAATATATCAGCAACACTGCCCTATATTTGTAGCACTATACTGGTACTGTATTGGTATCAGTAATATAGTAGCTGGTACTAAAGTCATTTTTGTCTTTTGTAAGTAAATGCAGCAGCAGATGTATCCTATCTCATTCCTTTTAGCATGATTAAAGCTCTGTTGCTTGACTTATCTTAACCATTGAACTGCGCCAACCGAGTATTCTTGGTCGGTGGGAAACTGCGCCAACCAAGAAAACTCTTTTTGATTTTTTCATAACCATTCTAAATGTGTGCGCGGTTGGTTGTGTACGAAATGTACTCTTAGGACCTCCAGTGAGAGGCAGCTATCTTGGAAAAAATTCCCAGAATGCCCTAGGGCTGCTGGCTGGGTTAGTACTGAGTGAGCAACCATGGGCGGTGCACGCGCCTCCGGCTCCCAAACACCTGTCTGACGCAGTGTTGAAAGATCGCGCTCTGCCGATGAAATTCAATCTTATTGTTTGAAGAACATAAGGGTCATAATATTGGTGAAGCTATTTCACCTATTTTCAAGAATAGCTGAATCTCTTCTTGACTGACGGACACTCTTTGAGACTGGCTGAATCTCTTTCAGACTAAAGAACACTCGTCGAGGCTGGATGAATCTCTTTCTGCGTGGGACCTTACAAAGCGATCTTTTCAAGACTACCTTACAAATTGATCTTTTCCTACAATCTTTTCAAACTACCTTAAGCTTTACAAACTTGGCTACATACCACCTACAGGTACCGAAGCCAAGGGAGTACATGAGTGCGTTATTTGCAAGCACACAGAACAAAGAAACAGGAAGCGAAAATCTATCTGTACCTGGTGCGACGAGAGCGAAGTCGCGCTGTGTACCATGGACTACTTCATTGATTATTATTCACTTCTGAAGTACTGAGTGTGTAATACAGTGTGTTACTGTGTAAATAGTGTGTGAAACTGTACATATTGTAATTTTAGTGAATTTTTAACAAGTAATATTGCGACAATAAACATTTATTGTGGACACATTACTGATACATGTATCACAGTTCCATGGAATATTATGAATGTTCTACTGTATACATATTGTAAAAGACACAAATATGCATCATATACAGTAAAGAAAACAACTAAAACTGCATTGGAAATATATAGAACAAATAATTGAAAATATATTTGTGGCAACACCCGGTGTTTGAATGGCCCACTCGACCGTGTCTTTGCGTGACACGCACAGGCAACCAGCCTCTGATAATGTCACAGCGCACCTTGTCCACATCCCCACAGCCAAAGTAAGTGGAATTTGGTATTTATTTTTACATAGACATGTTCAGGGAAGGGAATTGTATCATTTTATGAAGAAAAAATAATTTTGGGGGGAACACTTGATTTCATGCGCACAGGGGAAATTTCACAATAAACTCGGTGCATCACAGTGGTTAAACCTAACCTTACCAGTTTTTACTGGAAAATGTCAATCGTCTTACCACGAGCATAGCTTTCATCCTGTAACTACACTTAGGTAATTACTTAGGTCATTACATCCAGGTCTCCAGTTGCAGAACTGCCAGGTGAATATGAGTGAACTGCTAAGGATTGCTGACAGTTTCTCTCCTTTCCCAGAGGGGTTCCTGTGGCACAATGGCGGCACACTCGCCCTGCAACTATTGAGCAATGCTCACCGAGGTTTGAGCATTGGCCAACAAGGATTAACTTGTCACCAATCTCTAATTGTTTATCTCTCTTCACCCAGCAGCAATTGGGGACCTGATTGTAAACTGATTGACAGGTCTTGTGTGTTTTGCTCTCATATAGACATCATAAGTAATATTTAGGGCCTTTTGGAAATTTTTGCCCATGGCAGGGCTTGTGTATATATGACATAATACATCATATAATATGCAGGTGACTAAGGCATACTGGTTTACACTGTAGACAAATTTGTAAAAGTCTTACTTGGTTGTAAATGATGAGTTTATAAATGTAGCTGATATATGCAATGTATCAACTAGGTGAAATTTTTTTAGTTGTCTTTAGTATGTGAATTGTTCCACACGACCAAAGCAACTGAAATGAGCACTCGAGAACCATAAACAATACTTTTATATCTTTCTGTATCTTGAGCACCTGATATGGCAGTGATACTATATCAGAACAAAGTAATCTATATTGAGCAAAATGTTGACTGATTAGAGAATATTAATATACGCAAGACTTGTAAGTTTATACTTATCGCTTGGCATATGCTCAGCATTGCCAGCAAAATCCAGTCAATAATAATTATAGAAAACTAATAATTTTGTTTAAAGTATTTTGAAAGGAAGCAAATTTAATAACATAGAATGAAAGCAACTGTGAACACCAGGAGCTTCTGATGTCAAATAAAGATGGGGAGGATTATTTAAATAACATCCCAATTAGGAGAATGATGGGAGGACTAATATTTAATTCTACCAATGTAGACAAAGCCTAAATTGGAAGATGGTGAAAATTCCCTAGCTAGACACGTCAGACAACTTGGTGGTTATCTTGAGGTTATCTTGAGATGATTTCGGGGCTTTAGTGTCCCCGCGGCCCGGTCTTCAACCAGGCCTCCACCCCCAGGAAGCAGCCCGTGACAGCTGACTAACACCCAGGTACCTATTTTACTGCTAGGTAACAGGGGCATAGGGTGAAAGAAACTCTGCCTATTGTTTCTCGCCGGCGCCCGGGATCGAACCCAGGACCACAGGATCACAAGTCCAGCGTGCTGTCCGCTCAGCTGACCGGCTCCCCTTGACTCATGTGACTGACTCATCATACAGATTGTTTTTGAGCAGCAATTTCACCCGTTATCTACTTTGCTCTAGTTTTCTATCACACAGGTGCTTCCTGAGCTATCTCGTTGGGTTGCTGCCTGAGGTAAAGTAGGGATCGGCTCTGTCATATGACGGGGACAATATTCTGGCATTTACCATAGGAATCTTTTCAAACGTCCTAGCACGGTCATTAATTAAAGAATGCTGTGGTGTTGTTATTATTATTATATTGGGGATAAACTGGTCAACCCCAGATTGATTCACTCCCTTTGCATTAAAAGTGACTGACCCCCACCACGGACACCCCGGGCCCCCAGTGACTGACAAGCACCACGGACACCCCGGGCCCCCAGTGACTGACAAGCACCACGGACACCCCGGGCTCCCAGTGACTGACAAGCACCACGGACATCCTGGGCTCCCAGTGACTGACAAGCACCACGGACACCCCGGGCTCCCAGTGACTGACTCCCCGGGCTCCCAGTGACTGACAAACACCACAGACACCCCGGTCTCCCAGTGACTGACAAGAACCACGGACACCCCGGGCTCCCAGTGACTGACAAGCACCACAGACACCCCGGGCTCCCAGTGACTGACAAACACCACAGACACCCCGGTCTCCCAGTGACTGACAAGAACCACGGACACCCCGGGCTCCCAGTGACTGACAAACACCACAGACACCCCGGGCTCCCAGTGACTGACAAACACCACAGACACCCCAGGCTCCCAATGACTTTGACGATACATTCTCCTTGATTATGTGTCATCTCGGTTGTCAAGCATCCTCATTACTGTCTGAGATGTACAGTATAATATATGCAAATTATAATTTAAAAGCTTTAATTGAAGCTCAAAAGTATAATATACCATATAAATTGATTAGGTTGAATAATAATGACTAAAATTGGATAACCATGGGACAAAATCCTTACTGGACATAGGTTATACAGTATGGAAATTATAAATTTGGAGGTTTGTCTAAAACAACAATTTATCAAAAAAACAAGAACAGTTAATTTAGTTTTGTTTTTACTTCTTTATTATCAAGTGCAGATAGCATGACAGGCAATAATAAATCCTTAAGGGTTCTTCGAAATATATCGGACAAAGATTAGGGAGAAGGCTGGTTCATTGAAAAATTATATAGGTCAAGTAACTGACCTATCCCTTCCCCAGGACAAAGAGATCGAGTAACTAATCTATGCATTCCCCAGGAATGCATAGAATGCATAAAGAGGTAAAGTAACTGACCTATCCATTCCCCCAAGGAACAAAGTATTTGCTATGGTCCTTACAGAATATTAAGATGAACCCTTCTCCTTTATTTTTAATAAACCATTAAAGTTGAACGGAGTACTGGAATCATAGAGATTGCAAATGTGTAACTGATCATGAAGATAAGGTATAGGTCATTTGTTAAACTTCTGTGTTGGCCAAATAGCTTAACATCTGTTGTAGGAAAATTGTTTGAATTGATAATTATGGAAGCTGTTGATATGGTCTTTGAAAGTCATAGATTAAGGAAGGATTTACAACTTGGTCTTACTAAGGGACCCTCATGTTTGAGAAATTTGCTTTCATTCTTTTCTGGCATATTGGAGGGAGATGATAGTGGAAAGGATTGTGACATTGTGTACCTTGACTTTAGCAAAGCCTTTGATACTGTGCTTCACTCAAGACTGATTAGAAAGGTAGAGGCTCATGGTATTGGGGGGTGCTATCCTAATTTGGATAAGAGCATGTTATTTAGAAGGAAACAGGAAATTTTGAAGCTGCTGACAGTTTTGGCCTCCATCACCTTCTTACTTAAATTGTTCCAATTGTCTACCAGTCTGTTTGCCAAAATTAACTTTAAAATATTTTTCAGCAGGTTTGTTTCCTTAATTTGAACCTGTGCCCTCTTGTTCTGGAGGTTGTTGTTTTCAAAACTTTTCTTTGTCAGTTTT